CGCTTCTCCACTGTCCTCCCGTGTCCGGCGGCCCCCTCTGGCACCCTGACTGGTCTCTACCTCCCCTCGTTCTCGACGAACTTGGTGAGTGGTGCTGACCTCCAGGATGCGGGTGTCCACCAGTTCACCCCTGCTCGTCAGCGGGTGACCCACTGCACGGAGGCGGATACAGGTCGCCACCTGGCTACGTTTACACGTCGACCAGGGTCGAGCCTGTACACACTGACCACTGCTTCTCCTCCCGGTGCTGAGTCTGGTAGGGTCCCTTCGTCTGGTCAGGTGTTTGCTGCAGCGTCCAGGTCTGGTCCTGAGTCTGCCCCCTGCTCGTGTCGTCGTCTGTCTCACGAGACCCTCCTCTGGCACCACCGCCTTGGCCACCCCTCTCTGCTTCGGCTCAGAGGCATGGCCTCGCGAGTCCTTGTGTCTGGTCTTCCCCGGTCTCTCCCTCCCCTTCCTCCGGGCCCTGGCCCTACCTGTGTCCCCTGTGTCGAGGGGCGCCAGCGTGCTGCCCCTCACTCCTCCCAGTTTCCTCCGACAGAGGCCCCGTTGCAGACGCTTCACATGGACGTGTGGGGCCCAGCCCGCGTCCGTGGACAGGGTCAGGAGCGCTACTTCCTGCTGGTGGTTGACGACTACTCGCGTTACACCACAGTCTTCCCCTTGCGCAGCAAGGGTGAGGTCACTGAGGTGTTGATCGACTGGATCCGCGCAGCTCGTCTCCAGCTTCGGAGGAGCTTTGGCTCTGACTTCCCTGTTCTGCGTCTGCACTCGGACAGAGGCGGAGAGTTCTCCTCTGGCCTCCTGAGTGCCTACTGTCGTGCGCGAGGCATCCGTCAGACCTTCACGCTTCCGGACTCACCACAGCAGAATGGGATTGCTGAGCGCCGCATTGGCATGGTCATGGACGTCGCTCGTACGTCCATGATGCATGCGGCTGCTCCCCATTTTCTGTGGTCGTTTGCGGTCAGGTACGCTGCGCACCAGATCAACCTCCACCCCAGGGTCTCTCGACCGGAGACCTCCCCAGCCCTACTGTGGACGGGGAAGGTTGGCGATGCGTCGGCGTTCCGGGTCTGGGGATCTCGGGCGTTTGTTCGCGACCTGTCTGCGGACAAGCTGTCCCCTCGTGCTTCTCCCTGCGTCTTCCTGGGGTTCCCCCCCGACGCCCCTGGGTGGCAGTTTTACCACCCCACCTCTCGACGTGTTCTGTCCTCCCAGGACGTCACGTTCGACGAGTCGGTACCCTACTACCGCCTCTTCCCCTACCGCACTCCGTCCCTCCCCCCACCCCCGCTCTTCTTGGTACCAGGTCCCCCCCCGGTAGTCCCCCTCCCCCCTCAGGGTCCTGCCCCTTCAGGTGTGTCCCAGGTAGACGCGGTCGAGCCTGTCGAGGTCACTGGTGACTCTGGTGCTGCTGCGGGAGCTGAGCCTGGGGGTGCGGAGTCTGGGGGTGCTGAGCCTGGAGGTGCCGAGCCTTGGGGTGCTGTGCCTGGGGGTGCTGTGCCTAGGGGTGCTGAGCCTGGGGGTGCTGCGCCTGGGGGTGCTGTACCTGGGGGTGCTGAGCCTGGAGGTGCCGAGCCTGGGGGTGCTGTGCCTGGGGGTGCTGTGTCTGGGGGTGCTGAGCCTGGGGGTGCTGTGCCTGGGGGTGCTTCGTCTCGCCGGGAGCCACTCTCCCCACAGGAGCTGCGTGAGTGGTTTGCCAGGCGCTGGAGGCGTGCTGCTGGTGCTGGTGGTTCTTCGGCTGCAGAGGGTACTGCTGCCGCGCGTCCCGCCGGTGCTCGTACTGTGGGTGCTGGAGCTGCTGGGTCTGAGAGTTCTCCTGGAGCTGGTACTGCTGAGGGTGCTGGCGCTGAGCCTGCCGTTGGCGGTCCGACTGACAGTGCTCCTGGTGCTGCTGCTGGAGGTTCTGGAGCTTCTGGTGGTGCTGCTGGAGGTGCTGCTGGAGTGGGTGCTCCTGCCGGGGCTGCTGGTGCTGTTCCTGCTGTTTCTAGTGTCGCCGCGCGGCCCCGACCGTACTTCGTTCCGCTCCTGCAGCAGGTTCTTGGTCTTCCACCTCCTCCTCCTCCTCCCTTAGAGGGTCCGCAGCCTGTCCGGTCACAGCCACAGCTACAGCCTGCCTCCCCTTTGCCTGCTCCTTCTCCCTACACTGGTCCGACTGGAGGTCTTACTGAGCGTCGTGAGCCTGCGTCTCGTCCTGTGTCGCCTGTTCGTACTGAGCGCGCTAGTGGTCGCGGGTCGCGTCAGCGTCCTCCTCCTGTCCCTGGCACGCACCGGATGTCACTGCGTCCGTCCACTGCTCCTCTGCGTGCCCCTTTGCCTTCTCCTCCTGCTTCCTCTCTTCCTGCTCTTGCCGACCCGGAGTCGGACTCTCTTCGTGCTGCCAGTCCTACTGTCACGCGTCTCCTTGCTACTGCTGTCAGTGACCCTTCCTTCGAGTCGTCTGCTGCGTCTGCCCTTGTCACTGAGCTTGTCGACTTTGCTGCGCGCTGTCGTCTAGACTACGCTGCTCGTCTTGTCACTGAGTCTGAGTCCGCCTGTCCTCCGTCCGTCGGGGGTGAGTGTGCCCTTGGCACGGACGTCCTTGAGGACAGGCAGGAGGAGTTCCAGTGTCTGGCCGCCGCTTCACCTCGTCTCGCGTCTGTACTGCTAGCCCCTGAGGGAGACCCGGATGCACCAGACATCCCGACTCCGCGCTCTTACGCGGAGGCGATAGAGGGTCCCTACTCCTCTCAGTGGCAGGCAGCTATGGATGCAGAGATGGCTTCCTGGAAGTCCACAGGCACCTACGTTGACGCTGTTCCCCCTCCTGGGGCGAACATCGTCAGTGGCATGTGGATTTTCAGGGTGAAGCGGCCGCCGGGTTCTCCGCCTGTCTTCAAGGCGCGTTACGTGGCTCGTGGCTTCAGTCAGCGGCAGGGGGTTGACTACTTTCAGACCTTCTCCCCCACCCCGAAGATGACCACTCTTCGGGTTCTGCTGCACGTTGCTGCTCACCGTGACTACGAGCTGCACTCTCTCGACTTCAGCACAGCTTTCTTGCAGGGCAGCCTGCACGAGGAGATCTGGCTGCGTCGCCCACCTGGCTTCACTGGGTCTTTCCCTCCTGGTACCCAGTGGAGTCTCCGGCGTCCAGTCTACGGTCTCCGCCAGGCGCCACGTGAGTGGCACGACACACTGAGGACTACGCTCGCGGCACTTGGGTTTGTTCCTTCTACTGCCGACCCGTCGCTGTTTCTGCGCACCGACACCTCTCTGCCGCCGTTCTACATCCTCGTGTACGTCGACGACTTGGTCTTTGCCACAGCTGACACTGCTGGACTCGCCTACGTGAAGTCCGAGCTGCAGAAGAGACACACGTGCACTGACCTGGGTGAACTGCGCAGCTACCTTGGCTTGCAGATCACCCGGGACAGAGCACGCCGCACCATTACCCTGACTCAGTCACACATGGTGCAGCAGGTCCTTCAGCGCTTCGGCTTCACGTACTCCTCGCCTCAGGCCACTCCTCTGCCTACTCGCCACTCGCTCTCAGCTCTGCCTTCGGATGAGTCCGTAGAGTCGAGTGGCCCGTTTGCAGAGCTTGTTGGCTGCCTCATGTACCTGATGACCTGCACACGACCTGACCTCGCATACCCTCTTAGCATTCTCGCACGCTTTGTTGCTCCTGGGAGACACCGACCAGAGCACATGGCTGCAGCGAAGAGGGTGTTGCGCTACTTGTGCAGTACGTCGGGCATGGGGCTAGTGCTTGGAGGGCGCAGTCCAGTGGTCCTCACTGGGCACGCAGACGCTTCTTGGGCTGACGACCAGGCTACGCAGCGGTCGTCACAGGGTTACACCTTCAGCCTTGGTTCCGGCTCTGTCTCGTGGCGGGCTACCCGCTCGTCTTCTGTTCTCGGCTCCAGTTGTGAGGCTGAGATCTACGCTGGGGCTATGGCTGCACAGGAGTTACGCTGGCTCACCTACCTGCTGACCGACCTTGGAGAGCAGCCTCGTTCTCCTCCAGTCCTGTACGTAGACAACAAGGCCATGCTGGCCTTGTGTCGAGAGCAGCGACTGGAGCACAGAACGAAGCACATTGCTCTCCGCTACTTTCTTGCTCGTGAGCTACAGCAGCGTGAATTGTTGCGACTTGCGTACGTGGCCTCTGAGGCCAACACTGCTGATGTCTTCACCAAGGCACTTGCGCCTTGTGATCATCAGCGTTGTTGCATGCAGTTGGGTCTTGTGCCTGTCTTGCCTCACTTGCTCTCCTCTTGACCTTGCTTGTACCTTCGCCTATATATACTCTTGCTCTTGCTTGCTTGACTCTTGTATATCTCTATATATGATCTTGCATGTGAACTGGCCTTCTGGCCTTTGAACTTGTGCTCGGAATGCGTGGTGACTTTGTGATCCACCCTGAGCTTTGCTTTGCTTTGCTTGACTGGTCTTGTGACCCCTTGTTCTCCCCCACTTTGCCTATGGGGGTGTGTCAGAACATATAGCTTACTTGTTTCTGTAGGCTATAGTGGGGTATCCCATAGGGGGTACAACACAATTAGGGTTTCCTATTTGTATTCACTTCACTTCATAGTCATTCATTCTCGTTCTTTGATTTCACAGTGGCCGTCGCTTGGTTTCGTCTGGTTTCGCATTTAAAAACGTATTGGTTCGGTTGGTTTAAGCTCGGTTCAGACGGGAGACGCTCTAGCTCTCACCAATGAGCGCGTGTCCCATGGTTCAGCTCTGTATGTACTCTCGTCACACCTCAAAATCCATGATGGCCCAATTTCTGAAAACCTTCAGTTGCCTATGTGAGGGCCTGGTGCCTTGCGGTAACCTGATGATTCTTGTGCTCTCGCTTCCTCTATTGACCCGACGAGCTCTCGCAGATTGTGTTCGGCTTCACATATCAGCTGATCGCGGAGCACCTGTTGGCTTCACACGTGTTTAGTAGAAGTTAACGCGGTTACAGATGCTAGCACGTGAATCTTGAGCTAACCACTGGTCAGCTCGCGATGGCGACAAGAGGCGATCGCGCCGGAAACAGCAGGCTGCTATCGCTCCCCGACGAGCTCCTCCAAATCATTCTCGGCCTCGCCAATCACCCATCCGATCGCCGCAACGTCGCGCTCTCCTGCTCCCGCCTCCACCGCCTCTCGCGGCGCACGCCGCACTCACTCCAGTTCGACTTCTACTCTCGACGAAGGGTCACGAATCTTCGACAATGGCTGAAAGCGTTTGACGATTATTCAAGGCTTTTTACCCTCATAACGGATCTCACCGTTGAGATTCCTTCTGGGCTCGGGAATCAGCTCATGGCGGGGATAGCAGCGGGCTGCCCGAAACTGGAAAGACTGAAATGGGTGACGGGATGGGATAGCTTCAACGTTAACGGTCGAGCTTGGCGCGCACTCGTGACGCACTGCCCGTAAGTAGACGTTTACGTTTCTCTCCTTCCCTGAACGTACTTTGCCCACATCATTCATCCACATTCACCCGTCCATGCATCCGTGCGTGCATGCACCTGTGCATCCATCTATCTATCTCTATGCATCCATCCATGCATGCATCCATCCATTCATCCATTTCATCCAAGCCAATCCTTCTCTCTCCTCCCTCCCCTCCACGGAACCACCTTCCGTTTGTTCAAAGCACAGGGCTTCAGTTCTCTCCTCTCTCACTCCTCTTCCCAGCTCCACTCCCTCCACCTCGCCGGCCTCCCATCCATCCGCCCGGGCTTGCTTGCAGCCTGCAGCGCCCTGCGGTCGCTGAGTCTGGAAGGGGTGGTTGATTCTTCTGACTCCCGGTTGCCACACATTGTATCATTGGACGGCATTGTGAGTATGCTCGTGCGCGTGGAACGGGCATTCCCGAGGGGGAGCGACAAGCAGTGGGGGAGGTGCGTGGATATTCTTAGAGAGGCAGAGGCAGCAATGGAAGATAAGCTAGCAGCAGCAAGAGATGTGGTCCGTCTCATTCAAATAGCCAATGAAGCCTCCGAAACCGCCCGTTCTGAAGCTCTCTCGGCGGCTCGTGTGGAGGGCGTGAGCGCCGTGCCTCGGATCGTTGCCAGCCTCGGGAAGATCAGGTACGGGATTTCAGCGTGCCGGTCCTTCTGTGCCGGGGTACGTGAGGCCAATGCGGCGATCGAGTGGGAGCAGGCGCTTGCTGCTGCTGTTGCTGCTGCTGCTAGTGCTGCTGCTGCTGCTGCTGGTGGTGCTGGTGCCTCTAATATGGCTATCGCGGATCATATACCTGCTGCTGCTGCTGCTGCTATCCATGCAGCAGGGCCCTTTACTACGGAGCTGAATCCTGAAGATGAGGAGGACAGGGATGGGGAAGAGACAGAAGCAGGAGATGGAAGCAGGGGCATGGATGACATGCTGGGTGGGGTGCGGTCTGATGCGGTGGAGACACGTGCAGAGGGGTTGGATAGGCTGCATTCGCTGATGGATGAGCTGGGGAGCAAACTGATGCAATGTCTGCTAGCTTTGATTCCATGCGCCCACTCAGCCCCACCGTGGCTCGGCCAGTGGTGGATGCGGCAGCAGATGGAGGTGGGGCAGCAGATGGAGGTGGGGCAGCTGGGGATGTTGCAGCAGGGGGTGGGGCAGCAGGAGGTGGAGCAGCAACTTCAGGAGGAGGAGATGGAGCAGCAGCAGCTCATGGGGGGGCGGCAGTGCAAGGAGTGAGAGCAGGAGCGGCAGAAGCATTGCAGCATGTGGAAAGCACACTAGAAGGCGGAGGGCTAGGAGAGGGGGCAGCAGGAGAGGCGGCATCTGGGGATGCAAAACCAAGCAGCGGAAAGTCAAGCTTCAAGCATTTTGAAGGGAGCCAAGCAGCACTAGCAGTCCCCGTGCACGTGTTGTGCCCTCCTCTGGAGTCCCTCACCCTTCAATCCCTCTGCTTCGCCTCCATTCCCCATGCCCACTGCCTGCCTCCCTCCCTTTCTCCTCCTCGCATGTACCTCTCGTCATCCCCCTCTCCACCATCCTCTTCATGTCACTCATCCTCCTCTTCCCACTCCTCCGCTTCCCGCTCCTTCTCTGCCCCGTGCCCAAGCTATTCCTCAATGTCCTTTGAGTCCCTTGCCCGAGCTGCAGCCTTCAGGCACCTCAAGCATCTAGCTTTGGTGTGCTGCATAGGGTTGAAGGAGCAGGACTGGCTGGAACTACTCGGGGCGTGCTCCAAGTTGGAGGAGCTAAGGGTGTTGCAAAATAGCAAGATTTCAGATGCAGTGGTGGCGGGAAGCAGGTTGGGAACGCTCACTAGTTTGACTCTGGTGGAGTGCGAAAAGATTACAGCAACCGGCATTGGAGGGGTTCTTGGAAGCTTCCCTAGGTTATGGTACTTGAAGGTTGAAGTGGGGAAGGTAATGGAAAGGGCTCGAAGGGAGCTGCTTCGCGCTGAAGTGGTTGTGAGGGGGGTGTGACATTGATGATAGATACGGTAGGTGCATACATACCGATGTCAGGCTGCTCTTTGGCACAATATCGTCATTCAATTTTTGTCCTGTAAATAAATGTAAATATTGTCTACTTCTAGGTGCTGTTGCAGGGTTGAGAGTGCTGCAACTAAACAGAAGCTCCAGGTGCATATGTGTTACAGGACACTTTGTTTCAGCCTTGATTGGCCGGCTTTGTTCGGTTTGGGCCGGAGACGAACCAGCTCCCACCAATCAGCGCGTGTCCCAATGGCTCCTCCAGAAATGAAACAGTCGTTGGTAAATGCTCTCTGCATGTACTCACGTCACACCTCACAAATCCATCCTGAGAGTCTGGCCCTTGCGAGAACCTGATTCTTGAGCTGCTCTGGTTTCCTCTCTCGACCCGACGAGCTGATCGCGGAGCTCGGGATCACACGTCTCCCGGAGTTCATGTTATTTTTGAAAGTACACGTGTTTACAGATGCTAGCACGTGAATTTGGAGCTACCAAGCAACTAATCAGCTCGCGATGGCGAAAAGGGGCGATCGCGCCGGCAACAGCAGGCTGCTATCGCTCCCCGACGAGCTCCTCCAAATCATTCTCGGCCTCGCCGATCACCCATCCGATCGCCGTAACGTTGCTCTCTCCTGCTCCCGCCTCCACCGCCTCTCTCGTCGCACGTCGCACGCGCTCCGCTTCGACTTCTATTATTGGCGAAAGGTTACGAATCTCCGACAATGGCTAAAAGCGCTTGACGATTATACAAGGGTATTTACCCACATAACGGATCTGACCGTGGAGATTCCATCTGGTTTCGGGAATCAGCTGATGCTGGGGATAGCAGCGGGCTGCCCGAAACTGGAAAAATTGAAATGGGTGACGGGTTGGGATAGCCTCAACGTCAACGGTCGAGCGTGGCGCGAACTCGCGCAGCAATGCCCGTGAGTGGACGTTTCCGTTGATAGTCCATAAAATTACAGACATACAGGTCTTCCTCCTCGATTTTTTTTTCGCCCAATTCATCCACCCATGCATGCATCCTGGCATGCGTGGATGCATGTATCCATGTATCCATTGAATCCTCTCACCCCTCCTTCAACCCTCCCTATGCACGCCTCACTCCCTCTTCACCCCTCGACCGTCGCCCCTTCCCCCGTGGTTCAGGCTCTTGATCTTCCTCGGGCTCAACGCATGCCATCGTCCTTTTCCCCTTCCTTCAGGCTCCTAACCTCTCTGGAGCTCAACTCACGCTATGCGCGCGCGCGTCTCTCCTACGCACGGCAGCCGCCGCTCCCTCCCGTGCACCTCCTCCCCTCACTGCAGTCCCTCTCTCTCCTCTACGTTCCATCCGACTACCTCTCCATCCCCCGCTGCTCCTCCCTCACCTCTCTAACCCTCTGGGCACCTGAATCCTCCACTCTCTCCTCCCTTGCCTTCTCCTCCTCCTCCTCCGTTGCGTCCTCCCCCCCATCCACTCTCCGCACATCTCTCAGATCTCTCACAATTTACTCTGCCGAACTTGAGACCTCCCTTGCATCCCTCTCCCTCTTCCCCTCTCTCTCCTCCCTCTTCCTCCACTCCTGCACCATCGACCCATACGAGCTCCGCTCCCTCTCACGCTCCCTCCACTCTCTCACCCACCTCACCATCTACTCCTGCCCACTCGTCTCCTCCCACTCCCTCGCCCCCATCCTCCAAGCCAACCCCACTCTCTCCTCCCTCTCCCTCCACGGAACAAATTACTGCCTGTTTGCCGCACAGCGCTTCCGTTCTCTCCTCTCGCACTCCTCCACCCAGCTCCACTCCCTCCACCTCTCTGGCCTCCCATCCTTCCACCCAGGCTTGCTTGCAGCCTGCAGCGCCCTGCGGTCGCTCAGTCTGGAAGGGGTGGGTATTTCTTCGGACTCTCGGTTGCCGCGCACCGTAACATTGGACGGCCTTGTGGGTATGCTTGTGCGCGTGGAACGGCGAGGAGGGGCAGGAGGAAAGGCAAGAGGTGGCGCAGGAGCGGAGGCAGGAGGGAAGGCAGGAGGGAGGGCAGGAGGGAAGGCAAAAGAGGATGGTGTGGCAGACGTATCAGAGAGAGCTGAGCCTGGTGCTCCTGCAGTAGCTGCAGAAGCACAGGTATCCTCAAGAGGGGGCGACAAGCAGTGGGGGAGGTACGTGGATATTCGCAGAGAGGCAGTGGCAGCGCAGGAAGATAAGCTTGTAGCGGTGAAGAACATTATCCCCCTCATGCGCGCAGCCCATCAAGCTACCAGAACCGCCCATTCCGATGCACTTTCAGCAGCGCGTGTGGAGGGTGTAAACGCCGTGCCTCGCATCGTTGCCAGCTTCGGGAAGATCAGGTTCGGGGTTTCGGCGTGCCGGACCTTCTGCGCTGGGGTACGTGAGGCCAATGTGGCGATCAAGTGGGAGGAGGCGTTGATGCGGGCGTTTGCTGTTGCTGGTGCTTCTGGTGGTGGTGGTGGTGCTGCTGCTGCTGCTTTTGCTGCTCGTCGTCATGCTGCAGGCTTCTTTACTACGGAGCTGAATCTTGAAGAAGAGGAGGACGGGGATGGGGAGGAGACAGAAGCAGGAGATGGAAGCAGGGGCATGGATGGCATGTTGAGTCATGATGGCCTGTCTGAGGGTGTGCTGGGTGGGGTGCGGTCTGGTGCGGTGGAGACACGTGCAGAGGGGGTGGAGAGGCTGCATGCGTTGATTGACGAGCTGGGGGAGCACACTAATGCCATGTCTGCTAGCTTCAATTCCATGCGTCCACTCACCCCCACCCTGCCTTGGCCATTGATTGATGCGGCATCAGCAGGAGGTGGGGCAGCAGGAGGTGGGGCAGCAATACCAGGAGGAGGAGAAGGGGGAGCAACAGCGCATGGGGTGGCAGCAGTGCGTGAGGGAAGAGCAGCAGTGCATGGAGCGAGAGGAGGGGCAGCAGAAGCATCGCCGCGAGTGGAAAGCACACCAGAAGACAGTGAGCTGGGAGAGGCGGCTGCAGGAGAAGCAGCAGCAGGGGAAGCAGCAGCAGGGAATGCGGCAGCAGGGGAGACAGCACCAGGGGACGCAAAACCAAGCAGTGGAAAGTCAAGCTTCAGGCATTCTGAAGGGAGCAAAGCAGCAGCAGCAGTCCCCGTGCAAGTGTACTGCCCTCCTCTGGAGTCTCTGACCCTCCGATCCCTCCGCTTCGCCTCCCCGCCCCATGTCCCCTGGCTGCCTCCCTCCCTTTCTTCCGAGTCTCCCCGCATGTACCTCTCCTCCTCCCCCGCCTCACCACCGTCCTCTTCATGTCACTCATCCTCCTCCTCTTCCCGCTCCTCCTCTGCCTCGTGCCCAAGCGGTCACCCAATGTCCTTTGAGTCTCTTGCCCGAGCTGCAGCCTTCAGGCACCTCAAGCACCTCGCCTTGGAGTGCTGCGTAGGGTTGAGGGAGCAGGAGTGGCTGGTACTCTTCGCAGCGTGCTCCAAGTTGGAGGAGCTAAGGGTGTTGGAAAGTAGCGAAATTTCAGACGCAGTGGTCGCGGGAAGCAGACTGGGAACGCTCGCTAGTTTGACTCTGGTGATGTGTGATAAAATTACAGCAACTGGCATTGGAGGGGTTCTTGGAAGCTTCCCTAGGTTGTGGTACTTGAAGGTGGAAGTGGAGAAGATCTCAGAAAGGGCTCGGAGGGAGCTTCTTCGTGCTGGAGTGGTTGTGAGGGGGGTGTGACATTGGTGACAGATACGGTAGGTGCATACGTACCGATGTCAAGGCTGCTCTTTGGCACAAAACCGCCATTCACTTTTATCCTGTAAATAAATGTAAATAAGCCCCTGGCACGTTTGTGCGTTACGGTACGCTTCGTTGCGGCCTTCGTGTAGGCCCTTTATCCCAGCCCTTCAAAGAGAGCCTTTTAGATACCATTTAGTGTGAAAGAACTTAGTGATTCCTGGGCTTGGGCTCTTGAACAAAACTCGATGAAAAACGACACCCTTCGGGCGTACGCGTTAGGGGATTTTTCTGGGAAACCCTGCCCCCTATCCAGCAGCTCTCCCCCCCCCCACCCCCCCTTTCCCCTGCATTCAGTTTTCAGTCATCTCCCTTAGTAAGCCAAAACGCGAACCTCGGAACTGTACTCTCGAGAACTTCGTCCCAGAGCCCAAAGCGGAGAGCCTCGAGAGCTCCCCTCCCCTCTCCACACATGCAGCCACTAACGTTGTCCGTGTGCGAGTGGAGGGGGAGTGCGAGTTCGTCAGGCAGGGCCATTCTACCGCACGGGAGCCGATGGTCCACGTGGAGTCAGTGATCTGTTGGTCCGCTCTGCTTTCAAATGTCATGGCTGCCGTGCAGATTCGCTTGCGCTCGTTCAGGAGGCCCAGATCGGTTGGGTACGGTTTCTATTTCCTGCTCCCAGCGACGGAGAGTGAATCAACATCATCATGTCCTACCAGCCAGTGCAACTCCGAACACTTCGAGTCCAGACGACGATTCCTGCTGAGCTTGGGAAATCGTCCTCCTTAGGTCAGTTCTTGACAGAAATTGTCGTCGTTCGATCCATCCCTTGTCTCAGTCGTAATCTTCACCCAGCTCCTCGCCTGTGCTCGAGCTAGCACGGGTACGTGACCGCGCTTTTCTTTTGAAACGCGTTCAACGCTTGGAGAAGCCTGTCCCGTTAGCGGCTTCGTAGCGGTCATTCCGGAACGGCATTGCAGCTTCAGCCGCATATTCGCTAACCCATTGTTTGTGCTTCGATTTCGGACGGGGCCAGGCCCAGGACGGACGGCTTCGCGCAAGGCTCGGACTGCCCGATCTGCTGGGTATGAACACCTATTTTTTAACAAACGTCTGATCTCAGCAAAATCTGGTCAGGCGTCTTCCCGTCGATTTTTCATTCTAGCCGATCCTTTGCGTCGGCTTCCTCTTGCTTCTGCTCCTCATTCTGGCTCTTTTCTCACTCGTTGTCTTATCCAGCTGTGTCTTCTGGAGGCTTCCAGACTCGCTATTTCGCAGTCAGCTCGAGATGGCGGAAGACAGAGAAGGCGCCGACAATAGCTGGCTGTTATCTCTTCCCGACGATCTCCTCAAGATCATTCTCGGCCTCGCGGATCACCCATCCGATCGCTGCAGCGTCGCGCTCTCCTGCGCCCGCCTCCGCCGCCTATCGCGGCGTACGCCGCATGCGCTCCGACTCGAGGTCGACTCCAGATCAAGGGCTGCGAATCCGGGAGAATGGTTGAAAATGTTTGAAGATTATTCAGGGGTATTTACCCACGTGACGGATCTGACCGTGGAGGTCACCAGTGTTCTCGGGGACCAGCTGATTGCGGGGATTGCAACGGGCTGCCCGAAACTGGAAAAACTGAAGCTGGAGGTGTCGGCTTGGGACAGCTTCAACGTCAGCGGTCCAGCGTGGGAGAATCTCGCGAAGCAATGCCCGTGAGTTTAGGGTTTCCTGCATCTTCTCTCTCGCAAATCCTTTTGCCCAATCCATGCATCGTCACCATCCGTTCCTCCGTCCGTCACTCCGTCTGTCCGTCCATCAGTCCGTCCGTCCGTCCCTTCCTCCCTCCGTCTCTCCCTCCGTCCGTCCCTCTTTCCCTCCCTCCCTCCGTCCGTCACTCCGTCCATCCGTCCGTCCGTCCCTCAGTTCACTAATAATAACTATCTGCTCGACGAGCCTTTGCACTTCGTGAACGGAGCACTGACTGCGAAGTTATGCGCGTTCTTGTGTCCTTGTCCCCCCCATATCCACCCACCCACCCTCCTCTTCCCCTCTCCCCCCCCTCTCCCCCCTCTCCCCGCACCCTCCTTCACCTTACGCCCCCTTCCCCCTCCGCACCCTCTTCCGCCCCTCCCATCCGTTTCTATCTTGCATGTTTTGGCGGTCTCTCCTCACAGACCTCAACCACATACCTTTTGCAGCCACCTTTCCTCCCTCTTCACCCCTTCCGCTTAGCCCCGCTCCCCTCCCCACTCGCCTCTTCCCTCATACAGGCTAGTCTCGTTGATGTAGCTGGTCTTGCGCTACGGGCGTTCGTCCTTCCTGCAGTAGCTCTCTCTCCCTCCCTGCACTACCTCATCTCGCTGCAATCTCTCTCCCCTCTTCCTCCCTCCCCTCCCTTCCCTCTGCATGCAGGCTCTTGGCTTCATTGGAGCTAAAATTCTTTTCTGCGCACTCGAGTCTCTCCCACACACAGCAGCCGCCACCCCCCCCACGTGCACCTATTCCCCTCACTGCAGTCCCTCTCTCTCCTCTACGTTCCCTCGGACTTACTCCCCATTACCCGCTGCTCCTCCCTCAGCTCCCTCACCCTCGAGAGTCCTGAATTCTCCACTCTCTTCTCCCTTGCCTTCTCCTCCTCCTCATCCTCCTCCCACCTTGCATCGTCCCCCCCATCCCCTCTCCGCACATCTCTAACATTCCTCACGATCCATTCCGCCAAACTGCAGGGCTCCCTCGCATCCCTCGCCTTCTTCCCCTCCCTCGCCTCCCTCTCCCTCCACACCTGCACCATCGACCCTTATGAACTTTCCTTCCTCTCACGCTCCCTCCACAAGCTCACCCACATCACAATCCACTCCTGCCCGCTCATCTCCTCCCGCTCCCTCATCCCCATCCTCCAAGCCAACCCCGCTCTCTCCTCCCTCTCCCTCCACGGGACAACCTACCGTCTCTTCGGAGCACAGGGCTTCCGCTCTCTCCTCTCGCACTCCTCCTCCCAGCTCCGCTCCCTCCACCTTGCTGGCCTCCCATCCTTCCGTCCGGGCTTGCTTGCAGCCTGCAATGCCTTGCGGTCGCTCAGCCTGGAAGATATTGCTGAATCCTCTGACTCCATTGTGCCGCGCTCTTTATCATTGGACGGCATTGCGGCAATGCTCGTGCGGGTGGAGCAAATAGGAGGAGGGGCAGGAGGGGAAGCAGGAGGGGAGGCAGGAGGGGACGGAGGAGTGGAAGAGTGGGAGAGAGGACGAACTAGAGCTTCTGCAGCAGCTGCTGAGGCGCTGGTATCACCGAGGGGAAGCAAAAAGCACTTGGGAAAGTACTTGGACGTTCGCACAGAGGCAGAGGCAGCACGGGCTGACAAGTCCGCTGCAATGAGAGAGGTAGCTGATTTTTTCAGCATTGCTAAGCAAGCCTGTAATGCCGCTTTTTCCGAGGCTGCTGAGTTGGCGCGAGCAGAGGGCGACAGTGCTGTGGCTCGGATTGCCGCCCGCCTCGTGAATATGAGGTTTGGGATCTCAGTGTGCCAATCCTTCTCTGCGGCGATCCGCGAGTGCAGAGCAGCCGTGGAGTGGGAGGAAAAGCTGATGCGCTCATTTGACGCTGCTGGCCGGGCGGCAGGGTTCTTTGCCCCGGAGATGGATGTTGGAGAAGAGGAGGGGGATGGGGATGGGGACGAGGAAGAAGGAGATGAATCTATGGATGTCATGTTGCATGATGAAGCCTTGCTCGAGAGTGAGTTGGGTGGAGTGCGGATTGGTGCAGTGGAGGCACGTTCAGAGGCCCTGAACAGGCTGAAGTCATCAATAGGGAAGTTCAAGGAAGCCTCGCTTGCCATGTGTGCCGACATACAGGGCATTCGCCATCTCATTTTTGATACCAGCTCTGCTCCTGTAGCATTGGGGGCCGATTCGTCAGCAGCAGCAGCAACAACAGATGGAAGATCAGGAGGGGCGGCAGAAGCATCGCAGAGGGCGGAAAGTACACTAGAAGATGGAGGGCCATCGGGGGCGGCAGTAGGGGAGGCGGCAGCAGGGGAGGCGGCAGTAGGGGAGGCGGCAGCTGGGGAAGTGGCACTGGGGGGTGGGAAACCAAGCCGCAGCAAGTCAGGAGGCAAGCATATTAAGGGATGCCAGTCAGCAATCCACGTGCAAGTGTTGTGCCCTCCACTGGAATGCTTGATCTTGCGATCGCTCGTCTTATCCTCGACTTTTCGTGTTCCTTGGCTGCCTAGTACCATCCCCCGCACATCTCCTTGCATGTACCTCGTCCCACCCCCTCCATCATCCCCTTCCTATTCTTGCCACTCTTCCTCCTCCTGCTCTTCCTTCTCTTCCTCCTCTGCCTCAACCTCAAACACTCAGCCAATGTCCTTTCATTCCATTGCTAGAGTGGCGGTTTTTGGACAGCTCAAGCGCCTTGCACTGTTAAACTGATTAGGGTTGGGGGAGGAGCAGTGGATTGAACTGCTTGCCGTTTGTGGTAAGTTGAAGGAGCTTAGGGTGGAACAAAGTGACACATTTTCAGATGCAGTGGTGGCGGGAAGCAGACTGGGAACACTCGCTAGTTTGACAGTGGTCATGTGTGAGAAGATTACAGCAGCAGGCATTGGAGGGGTTCTTGGAAGCTTCCCTAAATTGCGGTTCTTGAAGGTGGAAGCGGGGAAGGTATCAGAAAGGGCTCGGAGCGAGTTGCTTCGTGCTGGTGTGGTGGTGAGGGGAGTGTGACATACGTGACACATGGTAGGCGCTCTCTGTCAAGGCTGCTTTTGGGCACAAGAATTTCATGCATTTTGTACATTGTAAATATATGTAAATGTTTTGTACAAGGTGAAATCATGGTCAGAGTCGAAGGTGTAGACCAATTTCCAAAGCTCTTGAGTAGCAAGTGCTCTTCCTTCACCCTAACCACGAGTTTTAGCGTCAATCGACCGCTTCTAAACGCTCTAGAGCGCACAAGAACTCACTGCGCGCAATCTAACCATGTTCTGGGGTATGTTAATCAAGCGTCTCGGGAAGTGAGAACCAAGTTCTTGGGACCGTTGCACAGCACCCCCTCTCTGTCCACGCATCAACCCCCACCACCCAGCCAAACCGATTACGATAAGCTTTCGCTGATCCTCTTGTGTGTTGGGCGAGTATGCAGGGAGGGACTAGGGAGTGTGAGCGAGTACGGTAGAAAGCAGGGAGGGAGTAGGGTGTGTGTGAGTCACGCTACCCAGGAGGGTGAGTCACGCGGGCCCACCGTTTCATCATAACCATACTGATGGTTGACGTGGCGTCAGTCATCTGTCCTCGCTCTCGGCTCGGCTCACTCCGTCATGGCTGTCGTGCATTCCCTTCCCCCCTTCGCCTCGCCCTAAGAGGTCCGATCAAGACGGTTCGCGTCCCGAAAGGCCGGAATTGATTTAAACCGTTCTCGACCTCTTCGCCGAACCTATTCCAGGGTCCCAAGATTGATCCAAGGGTTCTGGTGACGTCTTGGCGCAACCCCAGAGAATTATAGATAACACAACCGGAATTTCCTAGTAGCAGACAGGCCAGCCAGTCGGACGGGGAAAAAATACAGACAGGAAGAGTCTTGTCAATTTGAGAATCCGTTGTTCCTCCCTCTTGTTAATTCCAAGGACGATGTCGCTTGGAGGAGGTTTCACCTTTTGATATTCACCCTCCTTACGAGACGCTACCCCTATTAGACTCGAGAATTTTCGATTTGATTTGATTCGATAAGTCACGCCGCGGGGAGAAGGCGTTTCCGCTTGTAACGGCCTCGTAGCGGCCAATCACGGACTCATCCGTGTCGTGCCGCGCGATGGCGGTACCTCGAGTTTCCCCCGAGAGCAGGCCCAGGACGGACGGCTTCGCGCAAGGCTCGGACTGCCCGATCTGCTGGGTATGCTCTCCCGTTCTCCCACCACGCGTCTGTTTCTAGAAGGATCTGGCCTGGCCGTTTTCCTCTCTCCGCCCTGCTGATCTCACTGTTCTTGGCCAAACGGTTCAGCAACACATCGTGTTTCCGTACGATTTGGATTCTTCTCCTCGATCTTCACCTGTCGTCAGCTTCCTTCTAACAGCCTTGAATCTGGCTTGAAAGGGTAGGTAACTTGTGTTTCACCCATACGTCCTACTAACGCCGCCAATTACGTAACTCTCTGCTGCCATTCCTCGTCCCACTTACAGGAGGCCTACGATTCCAGTATAAGAGCCCCGCACGTGCTGCTGTGCGGCCACACCTTCTGCAAGCACTGCGTGCTCATCCTCCCTATAGCCGTCTTCAATAAGCTGCCATCGCTGCAGATCCAGCTGCCATGGCTCGTAGACTGCCCGCTCTGCCACTGGGTGACTCCCAGACTGGTCGTTGAAGGAAATCTGCAGTACCCTTTCAAGAACTTCTCCCTGGTGAGTCTCCACTGAACTTTTCCCTGGTAGGACTTCTTTGAACTTTCCCTGGTAAGTTCCGCTGAGGATCCAGCTGCCATGGCTCGTGACTGCCCGCTCTGCCACTGGGTGACTCCCAGGCTCGTCGTTGAGGGGAGTCTGCAGTACCTCTTCAAGAACTTTTCCCTGCTAAAATTCTCACTCCAGTTTTACCGCACGTTTCAGATCCATCTGCTTTTTATTTCAGGTAAAAGCTGGTAAATTTTGCTTATATTCATTACCTTTCCTTCCTCTCTTTCTGGTTGCGGTTCCCCGCCCTGTACCTCCCGTTTCTTGCGTCCAGCTGTGGCTTCTAGAGGCTTCCAGGCTCGCTCTCCCTCGAGGCGTCAACTCACCCACCACCGCCATCGCTAGCATCAGCGCCAGCACAAGGCACTCCCCTGTGCGGTCTACCCTCACCCACCTCCCAGACGGCCTAGAATCCCCGGATCCCTCGCCTCACGACGAGCGCTGCAGCAGTGCCTCTGGTGCTCACATCGGCAGCAGCAGCCGCGGCGGTGCCGGCGGCAGCAGCAGGAGGAGAAGAAGCAGTGGGGATTACAGCAGCAGTGCCAACAACAACAGCAACAGCAGCAGCAGCAGCAGCAGCAGCAACACGAATGCGTTTTTTGAAGCCCAAACTCTGGGAGCCCAAGCTCTAGGCGCACAGGTACTGGGAGGGCAGGCGTTGGGGTCTCAATCCTCTGGGGGCCAGACCCTCTGGTGGGTGCTCCCCCGTGTGTTGTTAGAGCAATGGCGCCCAGGCGGATCACCCGCAGCCGCAGCTGGTGCTGCTGCCGCTGCCGCCGCTGCTGTGGCCGTGCAGGCGTTGCAGCAGCATCAGCAGGGGCACGAGCAAGGGGAGCAGGAGTGGGTGGAAGGGGGACATATCCCCCACCATTACCTGTATCGCTTGCAGCAGCAGCAGCAGCAGGAACATCAGCAGTGGCAGTGGCAGGGACAAGGGCAGGCGCAGGGGCAGAGGCCAGGAGCAGGGTTTCACCACCTGCTGTATTCCAGCCGGCACCAGCTGGCACTCTGGCTTCTGCAGCGGGCGATCCAATGGTTCCCGTTCATTCGCACGGTGATCAACGGTGCAGCTTTCTACTTGGGCCGGCTGCGCCAGCTGTGCACGCGGTTACCGTTTCTGGGGGTGCTGGCGGTGGTGAGCTTTGTGATTGTGCCCTGGTGCTCGCTCGCCCTGCTCTGCTACCTGGCGGTGTTTCTGTTTGTGGCCGTGCCTGCTGCTGTGTGCCTTGTGCTCTCCATCTACTGGTCGGAAACACTTTTGAGGAGACTGACAGGCATGCCGTGACAGTTGGGGGGGGGGGGATTGTGTACAGTAGCGTAGCGTAATCCATGTTGTGGAAACAAAATAATGGTGCATGGCCGCCACTGATAGTGCTGTCAAATGCATCCTGTATTTGCTTTGTTATCATGATGCTTACCAGTAAATGAAAGAGAAACAAAACAATTGGAAATAATAAACAGATAGTTCCAACACTACACCACACGGCAGGAGTGGATTGTTGGGAACAACCTAGTCATTTCTGTTTTGGGTACAGAATGTCATAGTGCCCTGGTCGATACAGCAGCGTCATTGCAGGGGTTGCCCGTACACTCTCCTCGGGTAGAAATTCGTGAAAATTTGCCTGCCCGGCGCTGCGGTCCAGGTAAACGATCCGGATGGGTACGGCGAGGGCATCTGTGATGGCTGTGATGTGCATGTGGTCGCTCTCCTCCCCCATTGGTTCCACTGCCTTGTGACAGAACTGGGGGAAGGAAAGATGAGACAGAGGGGTAATGGCAGGAAATGGGCATCATAAGTGCGATCATTTGTGATGTGCACATGATCACGCTCCTCTCCCATTGGCTCCACTGCCTTGTGACAGAACTATTGGGGGGAAGAGTAGGGAGGAGAAGGCGGCACTGGGCATGGGGGACCACCTGTCACGGCTTTTCACATAAATGGGAATATGGGACTGCGAGCATGATTGCTCCATTCCCATTTGGCTGGCAAAGTGTCATGGACCGGGGAAGAGGGAGAACAGGCAATGTGCAGAGCGGCTGTGAGAGAGCAGGGGATACTGCGGATGGAAAGGAGGAGAAGATGTGTCTGGAAGGACGGAGGACATCCTTACCTGTTTAGCTGCCTCTTTTGGACCGCCCACGCCCGCCAGAGCGTCCAGCAGGAAGGGATGGAAGAAGTCTGCTCGGTGCTGTCTGCCTTATGAGACGTATTAAAGACTGTTACCTGTTTGGCTGCCTCCTTTGGCGCGCTCATGCCGGCCACAGCATCAGGCAGGAAGGGATGGAAGAAGTCCGCCCGGTGCTGGATGTCAGCAGATGTGATGAAGCGCAGAAACATGACCGCTGGTGGAAGGGGGAGGGGAGAGGGGAGCGGGGGGAAGGAGTGGGGAGTGGGAAAGAGCAGGACTGTGGGGAGAAGAACAGAAGATGTCTGCTTAGTGTTGGATGTTGGCAGAGGCAACAAAGCGCGGAAGCATGGCCGCTGGAGTAGTAATGGAGAGGTCGCACCAATAGCTTTGCTGATTAAAATACGCAGTTAGGATAGAAGAGCAGTATTCGACCACTCACCATAGTTGGAGCAGTCTGGGTCTTGACAGCGCTTCAACAGGCCATCAACCCTGCCATTGACAAATAAATACAGCAAACATTTGTAAAAAAAAATCAGCAAACAAATCAGCAGCGGCAGCAGCAGCAGCGGCGGGGGCGGCGGCACTCACGTGATCTTCTCCGCTGCACTCGATGGGTCCACGGCATCTAGAAGCTCCCGATACTCCTGCTCTCATGCATGCATGCAAGCGAGACATGAATACATGATGAGGACACGGATACATGAAAAACCCGTTCAAACGACATTCTTGCAAATTCACAATAATACCCCGTTAATTGCAAGAAAAGTGAGTGACAAGCCATGAGCAACCGAGGAGACTGCAATGCAAGCAAGGTCAATTTGTCAAATGGCTGTACCCAAGGTAATTCATCCAAGTGCCTAAAGAACAACAACCACACACGAACAGCAACCACGGCATGCCACCCACTCACAGCGGCAAAGTCTTCCCACGTGAACTCGGTATACCCAAGGTCTCTCAGCCTCTGCTCACTGCGCGCCACTCGCTCCCTCACTTGCTCGCACTCCTCCTTGCTGCTGCCTTGTAACAGATGCTCCTGTAACGAATGAGATTGCTGGTTGGACGATTGGGGTCTTATGAAGCGTGGCACCCAGTCTTATTTACGTTGCAGAAACAAGTTTAACCAGGTGCACCATGGTGTGTAAGGAGTCGAGTTTTGAGTCGACTCAAAACTCGATTTTAGGAAGAAAGTTGAGCCAGGTGTACCATGGTTTCTAGATAATAAGTATATCTAGGTGGCATTTGAGTCGTCTCACAGGTGTGTGTGTATAAAGGGTCTGCTCTCACCAGGAGCGCGAAGAGGAAGCAGCGGAAGAAGCAGTTTCCATCCCCTCGTGTCCGCCTGATGGCCTCGTACTCGGATGCAAGGTGCTGGAAGGGTGGGGAGGGGGGAGGGGGGGTGAAGGGCGGTGAAAGGGAGTGAAGACGGGTGAAGTGGGATGAAGGGGGTTGATCAGAGCGGAGAGGGAAGGCAGGAAAGCCCTTTTCTGTATTTTACCCGGCTCCACTGTTCCTACCCCTCTAATCCCGCCTTCCCCCTCGTTTTCAACCCATCCCCGCGTCTCTTCATCACATCCCCTCACCCGTGTGCCTCATGCCCCGTTCCTCATTCCACGCACCTCGATCTTGTCTTGGAACGCGGTGCTTCCCGCTGCGTATTCCGACGCCAATGCCGACAACGGCTCCTGCGGGGGATCACACGGGTTGAAACAGTTACGAACGAAATCTGAACCGTAACTTCACCTCGACTCTTAAAGATAATCTGTGTTCGATAATCGAAGCATATGGGGGGAGGAATGATGAGAATACACGCTAAATAGCGGAAGATCTGACTAAACTTCGACAGGATTTAGTTGCTTCTCTCCAAAATCGTTACCACCATGGATTATCTAGTTATCATTCACCCTTGTACAGTCACGCACCTTCTACAGTAACGAACCTTCTCCCCGACGAGCGGGTACCGCTGTGCTTCCTCTTCCCGCATCGCATTCTGCTGCGCTAAGATCGCATCGTCCGACGGCCGCTCGTCGCCTTGCGACGGCGGATCGCCGCCTTGCGACGCCATGCGACAAAATCTGTGAGAAAGTTTTTGCCTGAAGTTCCTGCCACTATTTCCCTAGCCACTTGGAATTACAGATGTGACCGTTGGGCTGGGAACCCAGTGGGTATCGGCTCCCTACCGTGCAAGACGGCCAAACTGCGGAACGAATTCCTGGAATCTGGCGACACTGCGGATGAGGCAATTTTTTCGACATTGGAGGTTCCGCCAACTGTTTCTGAATGTTTAGCCACAAAAAGCGAATTTTGTTAATCTTTGTAGGCATACTGTTCTACATAGCGCTTCATTGACACAGTAGTTATAATGAGCAACAGTTTTTGAATCACTCAAAGTATCCACTTAAAAACAACAGTTCAGCACCAAATCGACAAAGCAGGACGGATTCAGAAATGAGACAATCTTTGCAGCGCCTAAGAAATCCGGTGGAACAGGGCCTAGTCGGGTCAACGCACTCAATACACCCGGAACCTCCTGCCGCGCCATATGCCAGCCCAACCATGCCTGGCCTGCCTTCTGAGCCGACTCAAAAGTCAACAAGGTCAACCCAGTCAGTATCCATACCCTCCTGTTGACCCATATGCCTCCCCAGCCCCAGCAGCACCCCCGGCAGAGCTGGGAGGGTAAAGAGACGAGCCGATACTTCTAGCACCTCGGAAAACTGATGGGACGGGGTCGGGTCGGGTCAGGTCAACTCAGTCAGTACCCATACCCTCCTGTTGACCCATATGCCCCCCCAGCCCCAGCACCACCCCCAGCAGAGCTGGGAGGATAGAGAGACGAGCCATAGCCTGACAGGTCCGTCGGTGCCGAGCCATATGCTGGAGCTGGTGCTGCAGCAGACCCGTATGCCGAAGCTGGCGGTGCAGGTGCGGGCGCAGGTTCGGCATAGCCTGTGTGTGAATTCATGAAACCCTGCAAGGAATGAGCCGGGCGTTGGGAGAAGAGGACAAGGCAAGGCAATCAGCAAGCCACCCACCCACGACAAACCATAGTCCCCTGTCATGTACATCTGACATCAACTGGTGCGTGATTTGATTCGATCTGATCCGATTCCTCCCACTCACCTCGATGAGCTGCTGTGCCGTCTGCACCTGGGTGGCACTGCCCCGCACCTCCACCGTCATCTCCACCTGCACATCATTGCTTCCACTCTCACCTCTTCAACCACCCACTCACCAACCACCTCCCACTCCCCTCGAACACCTTCCACTCACTTCAATGAGTTGCTGGGCCGTCTGCACCTGCGTGGCACTCCCCCGCACCTCCACCGTCATCTCGGGCTGCCCTCCCTTCTCACCCCTATTCTCACCTGCTCACCCACCAACTCACCAGCAACTACTGCCAATCCACCCGTTCCTTCTCACCTCACTTAACCACTTCCCACCTTACCTCAATTAGCTGCTGTGCCGTCTGCACCTGCGTTGCACTGCCCCTCACCTCCACTGTCATGTCCAGTTGCCTGCCCGCCCCCCGGCTCTCACCTGTTCACCCAGATTACCACCAACTACTGCTCACCGGGATCAACTCCCTCTCACGTCAATCAACTCCTTCTCACCTCTATGAGCTGCTGTGCCATCTGCACCTGCGTGGCACTCCCCCGCACCTCCACTGTCATCTCCGGCTGCCCTCCATTGCCACCCCTTCACTGTCACCCCTTCACCCACCCACCCACCCACCCACCCACCCACCCACCCACCCACCCACCCACACATCAGGAAGTATTGCGCACCTCTATCAACTGCTGTGCCGTCTGCACCTGCGTGGCACTGCCCCGCACCTCCGCTGTCATCTCCGGCTGCCCTCCACTTTCCCTCAGCGAATCAACTCTTCCCCACGCACCTCTATCAACTGCTGTGCCGTCTGCACCTGCGTCGCACTGCCCCGCACCTCCACTGTCATCTCCGGCTGCCCGCCCGCCCCCCGGCTCTCCTGAATGGTCACTGCGGCCCCGCTGGTGCGGCGCAGGAAGACGATGTTGGTGCCGTTGGGGCCGATGATGGCATCCACATATGACAGAGGGATCTGCATGGTTGCGCTGACCTGGAGTGGGGATGGGATGACAGGGGGGTATGGGTGTGGTTGTCAGAATGGGACGGTGTTGGTGTCATTGGGACCGATGATGGCGTCGAGGTGACTTTTGAGTCGACTCAAAAGTCACCTCGTTGGTGCCATTGGGACCGATGATGGCGTCGACGTAAGACAGAGGGATCTGCATGGTGGCGCTGACCTGCCAAGCACAGAGACGGAAAGCAAGTGGGATGGACGGGAGGGAGGATGGAAGGGGAAAAAGGGGGGAGGGAGAGGGGGGAGTGTCAGGATCGGGCAACACCACCGGTGGTGCGGCGCAGGAAGGCAATGTTGGTGCCGTTGGGGCCGATGATAGCGTCGACGTAGGAGAGAGGGATCTGCATGGTGGCACTCACCTGGAGGGATAAAGATGGGCGGAATGCAAGTAGGAGTGGGTGGGATGGCCACGTGAAGCGAGGTTGTTTTTGAGACGTCTCAAAAACAACCTTGCTTCAGTCAGATGGGCGGAATGCAAGTAGGAGTGGGTGGGATGGACGGGAATGGGTGTTGGGGTGTCAGGATGTGGCAATGCTGCCGCTGGTGCGGCGCAGGAAGACAATGTTGGTGCCGTTGATGGCATCCACGTATGACAGAGGGATGTGCATTGCGGCACCCACCTGACGTGGGGGATTGAGTGACCATACGCTCACCTGACGTGGGGGATTGAGTGACCATACGCTCACCTGACGTGGGGGATTGAGTGACCATACGCTCACCTGACGTGGGGGATTGAGTGACCATACGCTCACCTGCGTGACGACAGGCGAGACAGTGTTGGTCATAGCGGCAGCGGCAGCAGCAGCAGGCGTCTCTCTCCCATACTTAGACAGAGCTGCCCTCAACTGCCCGCTTGCATCCATTCCCCCTCCCCCTGGCCCCGCTGCCGCCCCCCCTGCTCCCCCCATCCCCCCTGCGCCCCCATATCCGCCTCCTGCCTGCGTCCCCGGCTGCTGCTGCTGCTGCTGCTGCTGGTACGGCTGTTGCTGGTATGGTGGCGGTGGCTGCTGCTGCTGCGGCGGCGGCGGTTGAGAAATCTGCTGGCTGTAGCCCAAGCCTCCTCCCGAACCTGCTCCCAGGCCTCCCATGGCTGAGCCGTACCTGCTATGGGCGGCGCAGCAGGTAAAAGACCCCCAAAGAAGGGATTAGCAAAAAGGAGGCGATGGGGAAGAGACAAGGAGCATGAGCAGATTCACTGTCGAATGAGAACTTGCACGGCAAGTAAGAAATTGTCAATATTGGACTTACTGTTAGCAAATGCTGTCAAGGTGGTGTTACGGTTACCACCACTCCCCACCCCACCCTACCATCATGACCACCCGTCAACCGCTTCATACCTGTCAGCACCCCCCATGCTTCCCAGGGAAGAGAGGGAGCCATATGGGTCAGGCGCAGCAGAGGGGGGGAGGTCGAAGCGGGAGCGATGGGGGGGAGAGTGCATTCCCCCCGGGGGCGGGTTCCCCCACCCCCCTCCGCGGCTAGAGGGGGAAGAGTAGGGCGCACCCCTGGGGTCCATGGGGGGAGGGAAGGAGCGCTGAAGCGGGGGAAGATGGGAGAAAGGTGGGGTGGGGAAAAGGGGGAGAGGATTTTGTGAGCCTGAGGGGGGAGAGTGGGGCGCAGCAGGGATTGGTTGCATTGGTCGCAGAAAAGGAGAGTTGCTGAGGCAACTCATCCCGAAAGAGATGGATGGCTGCGTTCATGGGACGATGGGTCCATGGGACGATGGGTGCATGGGAGGATGGGTGCATGGGACGATGGGTGCATGGGACGATGGGTGCATGGGAGGATGGGCGCATGGGAGGATGGGTGCATGGGACGATGGGTGCATGGGACGATGGGTGCATGGGACGATGGGTGCATGGGACGATGGGTGCATGGGAGGATGGGTGCATGGGACGATGGGTGCATGGGACGATGGGTGCATGGGAGGATGGGTGCATGGGACGATGGGTGCATGGGACGATGGGTGCATGGGACGATGGGTGCATCGGACGATGGGTGCATGGGAGGATGGGTGCATGGGACGATGGGTGCATGGGAGGATGGGTGCATGGGAGGATGGGTGCATGGGACGATGGGTGCATGGGACGATGGGTGCATGGGAGGATGGGTGCATGGGACGATGGGTGCATGGGAGGATGGGTGCATGGGACGATGGGTGCATGGGAGGATGGGTGCATGGGAGGATGGGTGCATGGGACGATGGGTGCATGGGAGGATGGGTGCATGGGAGGATGGGTGCATGGGAGGATGGGTGCATGGGAGGATGGGCATGGGTGCATGGGAGGATGGGTGCATGGGAGGATGGGTGCATGGGAGGATGGGTGCATGGGAGGATGGGTGCATGGGAGGATGGGTGCATGGGAGGATGGGTGCATGGGAGGATGGGTGCATGGGAGGATGGGTGCATGGGAGGATGGGTGCATGGGAGGATGGGTGCATGGGAGGATGGGTGCATGGGAGGATGGGTGCATGGGAGGATGGGTGCATGGGAGGATGGGTGCATGGGAGGATGGGTGCATGGGAGGATGGGTGCATGGGAGGATGGGTGCATGGGAGGATGGGCGCATGGGAGGATGGGTGCATGGGAGGATGGGTGCATGGGAGGATGGGTGCATGGGAGGATGGGTGCATGGGAGGATGGGTGCATGGGAGGATGGGTGCATGGGAGGATGGGTGCATGGGAGGATGGGTGCATGGGAGGATGGAGGGACATACCCATTGCTCAAAGAGCGGCAGCACAGAATGGTCGCAGCGACAGAGTTATTTATGTGCCTCTAAAGAGAATTGGTGGATGGGTGGATGGATGGAAGGGTTCATGCAGGCACGTACGCATTGCTCAAAGAGCGGCAGCACGGAGTGGTGAGAGAGGAAGAGCGTTTGGTGGGATGTGTAGATGGGGGCATGGGTGGATGGATGGAGGGAAGGTGGCACTTACACATTGCTCAAAGAGCGGCAGCACGGAGTGGTCACAGAGGAAGCTAGTTCTTCTGCGGTGTTTCATCTTATAAAACGGTCATGGGTGCATGTGGGAACATACGCATTGCTCAAAGAGCGGCAGCACGGAGTGGTCACAGAGGAAGCGCCTGAGATGCAGAGTGACGCCCTTCACTGCCTCGTGCACACACGCATACTCCCCCGTCACCTCCACCACCCTGTCGTCCTCCAGTGCGCATGGCGGCACGTCCTCTGTTCAGAAAGAGCGAGGAGAACCACGAGGAAAGGGAATGGGACATGATTTGACCGAATGGCGTCATGCTTGGTCGCATACTTCCCCTGTTTCGTCCACTCCACTCCACCACCTGATCGTCTTCCAGAAGGAAAACAAGGGGCCGAACGACAATGTTCAACCAAACAAAACCCGTGGGTTTTAAATTTCCCCACACACGCACATACCGAGAGAGAGGATCCGGATGTGCGCCCCTGTGCTGTCCTGCAGTGCTTTAATCGTCTGCCCCTGGCGCCCGATCAAACTCCCAGCCTGTGTGGCTGGCACCAGCAGGCGAATGGCCACCTGCCCACGGAACCCCTCCCCCGGCTGAGACGCCTCGATCTCGTCCTCCAACACGCACCTATGTTACCAGACAAGGAACCATGTTACCAGACAAGGAACCATGTTACCAGACAAGGAACCATGTTACCAGACAAGGAACCATGTTACCAGACAAGTACCTACAATACCAGACCTATCAGAAACGCAAACTTCAGCCAGCATACCGAGAGAGAGAATCCGGATGTGCGCCCCTGTGCTGTCCTGCAGCGCCTTGATCGTCTGCCCCTGCCGCCCAATCAAACTCCCTGCTTGGGTAGCCGGCACCAGTAACCGCGTGGCCACCTGCCCACGGAACCCCTCCCCCGGCTGAGACGCCTCGATCTCGTCCTCTGATACGCCCTCCACGATCCGACGGTGCACACGCATCATCGCCACCACGGCTGGGGGAAGCTCTGAGTCTGGGTCCTCCCTGCCTGACACCAGCACCTGAGGAGTAGTAGGGATGGGGGGGAAGAATGACGGAGATTGGGGAGAGGCTGGTGAATGTTGGACATTGGGTAAGGGGAAAGGAGCGGCGGTTCCTCCCTCCTCCCGCCCTGAAACCAGCACCTGGGGAGGTAGGTACAGAGCGATGTGAGTGAGGCACGGGGGAATGAGGTGGAGTGACGTGACGGCGATGAGAGAGAGAGGGGAGAGGGTCGACTCGTCCAAGCTGCTGCCGCCGTTATGCTCAACGCAATGCCCAAGTCCGTCCAATGCCCCTGATGCAATGCCTAGCACGAGCAAATACTGCGCCCGTCAAGCCATGAAGCCATACAGCATTCCAGCCCCTAGACCAGACTCCTACAACCGACCGGCTTACCACGCGGTCGTCATGGCCCGGAGCGCCCTCCACGATCTTAACGTGCCATGCCCTTCAAGGCCCAACCCAAGCCCAGACTCCTACAACCAGCTTACCCCAAGCACGGACGGGCTATAAGAATCTTACCACGCGGTCGTCATGGCCTGGAGCGCCCTCCACGATCTTAACGTGCCATGCCCTTCAAGGCCCAACCCAAGCCCAGACTCCTACAACCAGCTTACCCCAAGCACGGACGGGCTATAAGAATCTTACCACGCGGTCGTCATGGCCTGGAGCGCCCTCCACGATCTTAACGCGCGCCTTGGTCTCGTCACAGATCTTCTTCACATACTCGCCGCGCCGCCCTATGATGCTCCCCACCTTCCCCATCGGCACCACGAAGCGGAACACGTTATCCCCTGGCCATCCCGGCCAACGCTTCTGCTCCCCGCTCCCCCCGCCCCTCTCTCCGCCTGGACCACCTCCGCGCTCCCCGCGCTCCCCCCGCTCCCCACCCCGCGCGGAGTCGCCCGGTTCCCCGCCGTACATCTCCCCCGCGGAGCGCTTCTGCCTGTGTTCTCCGTGCTCCCCGCGCGTATCCCCGCGCATGTCTCCCCCGTCCCCGCCGACACCAAGCGCGCCGAGCCCCGTAGAACGCGGCCCAGAATCCGGCGGGTACCCTCCGCCGGAGGGGTAACCCTCATTGGACGGTGGGGGATAGGGGGGAAGCGCGGGGGTTGGTCCGCCATGGGGGGGAGGCCCGCTGGGGGGGCCTCCGCCAGCCGGTGCGCCAGTTGCGCCGATGGTAGGTTGGCCCATAGAGAAACTAATGTTGGGAAGAACCATCTTAATTCCCGCGTCGTCGGGAGCAGCGTCAGCGCCGGAAGCGGCGGATCCGTCGGGTGCTGTACCGTTAGTGGGGGGAAGCGGGGGACCCTGACCTTGAGCTTGATTGTCCATGGCGTCGGTAATGTGTGCGAGGAAGAGATTATAGAATGGGAGCGCAGCGCCTTAGCATATAAAGGAAACGTTCTACTACTGACCGTTATGTGACTCAGTGCGGAAAATGTCAGTTTCGGGGAGAAATAAGTTCCTCACCACAAGACAGCCCTTAGAACCGTTACTGGAGCTTTATAGATTGGCTGATTCGTACAGATCATACAATTTTCAAATTTTGCAATGGTGTTTGGAATTTCAAATTTAATGCGAAACAATTTAACATGTGTGATAAATAGGCTGGAGAAATCAGCATGACCCAAAACCAATTTGTGTCAGGAAATCCAACAGAGGGTTTGAAACTCAATGATGTAAAACATTATTTACATTTATATACAACATTATTTACAAGTATAGGCATACACCATTACATGTATTCACATATGGTATCATTGTTCCCAAACATAGCCTACCATGTGTCACCGACCCCTCACAATCACACCAGCACGAAGCAAGTTCTCCCGCGCCCTTCCCGAAACCTTCCCCACTTCCACCTCCATGTACCGCAATTCCCCACTTCCACCTCCATGTACCGCAATTTAGGGAAGCTTCCAAGGACCCCTCCAATCCCTGCCGCTGTAATCTTTTCACACATGATAGCCTTCAAATTCTTCAGCGTTCCAAGTCTGCTTCCCGCCACCACTACATTTGAAAAGGTGCCATTTTGTTCCACCGTTAGTTCCTCCAACCTGACACAAACAGCAAGTAGTTGGAGCCACTCCTCTTCCTCCAACCCCGAGCAGCACAGCAGGACAAGCCGCTTCAGCTGTCCAAAAACAGCAACTCGAGCAATGGACTGAAAAGACGTTGGCTGGGTGCTTGAGCTTGGGGCAGAAGAGGGGGAGAGGAAGCAGGAAGAGGAAGATGAGTGGCAAGGAGGAGGTGGGGAGGAGAGATACATGCGAGGAGACATAGAGGGAAGGGTTGGAGGCAGCCATGAGGTGTGGGGAGTGGTAGAGAAAGAAAGCCCTTCAAGGGTTAAGGAATACAGGCGAGGGCAGAATACTTGCACAGGGACTGCTGACTGACACCATTCATTATGTTCGCATGATGCCTTTCGGCTGCTTAGTTGTACATCATTTGGTGCCGCCTCTCTCGGTGCCACCTCCCCAGGTGCCACCTCCCCTGGTGCCAACGCCTCTGGCCCTTTGTCTTCGTGTGTGCTTTCCACCCGTTGTGGGCCAAGATTTCCCTTCTCACTCCATGCCCTGCTGTTCTTCCTTCTCCTGTTGCGGCTGCCACATGCGCTGCTGCTGCTTCATCCCCTCCAGCTGCTGCTGCTGCTGCTGCTGCTGGAGCTGCTGATACTGCTGCTTCTGCTGCAGTTGCTGCTGCTGCTACTACTTCTGCAACTGCTGCTGCTGCTGCTGCTGCTTCTGATGCTGCGGCGGCTGCTGCTGCTGCTGCTGCTGCTGCTGCTGCTGCTGCTGCTGCTGCTGCTGCTAAGGTTGCTACTAACCGAGCTCTTCCTCCTCTTCGTGCCACTACTGTTGCTCCAGCAACTCTTGTTATCGTCGCTGCTGCTCCAACTCCTCCTGCTGCTACCGCACCCGTCATTAGTCGCAAGAGGGTGGCTCTCAGAGTAGTGCCGGGTTGGTGCAAGGAACGAGAGATATCATGCACGGCTAAACCTTGTTGCCGCAGCTCGCCCGCCAGTGCCCGCAGCATGCCCACTACATCTTCACGTGCCTCCACCGCACCAGACCGCACTCGACCCAGCACACTCTCAGGCGAGAAATCATTAAACAGAATGACATCCATGCCCCTAATACTATCCCCGTCCTCCTCCCCATCCATGTCCTCTTCTCCAGAACTTAGCTCTGTAGAAAAGAACCCTGTGGCCTGCCCAGCAGTGGTTGTTCTTCTGGATTCACTAGCAGCAGCTGTCTTGGACCCAGCAGAAGCAGCAGCAGAAGCAGCAGAAGAAGCAGCAGCAGCAGCAGCAGCAGCAGGATCAGCAGAAGCAGCAACGAACGCCCTCATCAGCTTCTCCTCCCACTCAACAGCCGCATTGGACTCACGAACCGCCCTGCGAAATGACCGGCACGCCAAAATCCCGAACCTGATCTTCCCGAGGATGACAGCGATGTGAGACTCGAAGCTCTCTCCCTCTACACGCGCCGCCGCCGAGAGGGCTGCAGGACAGGCGGCCTTTGTAGCTTCGTTGGCTGCTTTGAAAAGGAAGATTAAGCCGTTCGCTGCCGCAAGCTTGTCTGCATCAGCCGCTGCTGCTTCTGTGCAAAAATCCAGCAATAGTTGTTGCTCCCGCTACCCGTTCCTGCTGTCATTGCTACCCGCGCTATTCCTGCAGCAGCTGCTGCTGCGGCTGCAAAAACACCTGTATTTCCCTCCACACATCCTTCTTCTCCACCCCCTCCTCCAGCCTCCCCTCTTGCCCGCCTTCCCGCACACCCCACTTGCTCCACCCGCACCAGCATACTCACAAGGCCGTCCAGAGACACTCCCCTCGGCAATCGCATTTTAAGACAATCGACAGCCCCGACCACACTCAGTGAGCGCAGGGCACTGCAGTCTGCAAGCAAGCCCGGGCGGAGAGATGGGAGGCCGGCGAGGCGGAGGGAGTGGAGCTGGGAGGAGCAGCGAGCGAGCAGGGAGCGGAATCCCTGTGCGGCGAACAGACGGTAATTCGTTCCGTGCAGGGAGAGGGAGGAGAGAGCTGGGTTGGCTTGGAGGACGGGGATGAGAGAGTGGGAGGAGACGAACGCACAGGAGTGGATTGTTATGTGAGTGAGTCTGTAGAGGGAACGTGAGAGGGAGGAGCTCATAACGGTCGATAGAGCAGGAGTGGAGGGAGAGGGAGGAGAGGGAGGGAAAGAAGGTTAGGGGTGCGAAGGAGCATGACAACTGGGCGGAGTAAATGGTGAGGGACGTGAGAGACGTGTGGAGAGAGGATGGGGGAGGAAGCAACGGAGGAGGAGGAAGCACAGGAGGAGGGGGAGAAGGCTAGGGAAGAGAGGGAGGAGGATTCAGGGCCCCAGAGGGTGAGGGAGGTGAGGGAGGAGGATTCAGGGCCCCAGAGGGTGAGGGAGGTGAGGGAGGAGCAGCGGGGAATGGAGAGGTAGTCTGAGGGAACGTAGAGGAGAGAGAGGGACTGCAGTGAGGGGAGGAGGTGCACGGGGGGAAGAGGCGGCTGCTGTGTGTGAGGGGAACATGAGCGCGCAGAAGGGGAGTTTAGCTCCAATGAAGCCAAGAGCCTGCATGCAGAGGGAAGGGGCGAGAGGGGAGGGGAGGGGAGGGGAGGGGAGGGGAGGGGAGGGGAGGCAGGAGAGAGAAGGAGATTGCAGCGCGAGGAGGTAGTGCACGGGGGGAGAGGGAGCTGAGATACTTTGGGTAACGGACGAACGCACGCAACGCAAGATTAGCTTTATCAACGTCACGAGCCTGCACGAGGGAGGGGCGAGTAGGGAGGGGAGCGGGGCGAAGAGGAAGGGGTGAGGAGGGAGAAAAGGAGGATGCGAGAGGCATGTGGCCGAGGTCTGCGAGGAGAGGCCGCCGAAACATGCAAGATAGAAGGGCGGAGGGCGGAGGGGGTGGGGAAGGGGCATGGGGAAAAGGGTGGGGGAGAGAGAGGGAGGTGGGGGAGGGGCTTGGGGGAGGGGCTTGGGGGGAGGGGGGGAAGGGGGGAGGGCATTGTAGGGACACCTCGCGGAGTGTGAAGGCTCGTCGAACAGATTTGTTATTGAGGAACGGATGGACGGACGGAGGGGCGGAGGGAGGGACGGAGGGACGGACGGAGGGACAGACGGAGGGAGGGACGGAGGGAGGGACGGAGGGAGGGACGGAGGGAGGGACGGAGGGAGGGACGGAGGGAGGGAGGGACGGACGGAGGAACGGACGGACGGAGGGACGGACGGAGGGACGGACGGACGGAGGGACGGACGGAGGGACGGACGGAGGGACGGATGGTGACGATGCTGGATTGGGCAAAAGGTTCCGAGGGAGAGAAGATGAATGGAACCTTCGACTCACGGGCATCGGATCGCGAGATTTCGCCACGCTGGACCGTTGACGTCGAAGCTATCCCAAGCCGACACCTCCAGCTTCAGTTTTTCCAGTTTCGGGCAACCCTCTGCGATCCCCGCAATCAGCTGGTCCCCGAGAACACTGGTGATCTCCACGGTCAGATCCGTCACGTGGGTAAATACCCCTGAGAAATCCTCGAACTTTTTCAGCCATTCTTGCGGATTCGCAGCCCTTGATCTGGAGTCGAACACTAGTCGGAGCGCATGTGGCGTGCGCCGCGAGAGGTGGCGGAGGCGGGAGCAGGAGAGGGCGACGTTGCGGCGATCGGATGGGTGATCTGCGAGGCCGAGAATGATTTGGAGGAGCTCGTCGGGGAGAGATAGCAGCCTGTTATCCTCGGCGCCTCCTCTGTCTTCCGCCATCGCGAGCTTACCGAGGAAAAGTGAGTCTGGAAGTTTCCAGAAGCCACAGCTGGACAAGAGAAACGGGAGATAATGCTAACATGAGGAGCAGAAGCAAGAGGACAATATCTGCTAGAATGAAAATCGTCGGGAAGACGCCTGGCCAGATTTTGCTGAGATCAGACGCTTCGAAGGGGAAACGGGTTCATACCCAGCAGCTCGGGCTGACCGAGGCTTTTGGGAAGCCGTCCGTCCTTGGCCTGGCCCTTGAGGGAAATCGAGGCACAAACAATGGGATAGCGCGCATGAGACTGAAGCTGCTATGCGGTTCCGAAATAGCCGCTACGAAGCCGCTAGTGGGACAAGCTTCTCCAAGCGTTTGAGGCTCTTCAGAAAAAAAGCGCCGTCACGTACCCGTGCTAGCTTGCGGACACGCAAGGAAGTGTGTGAAGGTTACGAATCAGACAAGGGACGGATCGAACGACGACAATTTCTGTCAAACGAACAACCTTCTAGGGAGGACGACGATTTGCCAACTCAGGAGTCTTCTCCTTCTTGTCCGACTGGCTGATAGGAGATGATGTTGCTTGATCCTCCGTGGTTGGATCCTGGAGGTACGGTACAAACCGTACCCGACCGATCTGGGCCTCCTGAACGAGCGGAAGCGAAGCTGCACGACAGCCATGACGGAATCAACGCGGGGTGACAAATGGCTGTCTCCACGTCGACCATCACAGCTCGCGTGCGCTGGAATGGCCCTGCCTGACGCACTCGCTCTCCCCCTCCACAAACACACGGAAACACGTTAGTGGCTGCATGTATGGGGAAGGAGCTCTCGAGGTTGTCTCTGGGACGAAGTTCCCAAGGCTGTTGCTAGAGTAGTACTTGGCTTTTGACTCATAAAAGGAGGGGCTCAGGGGAGCGTGGCTGTAGCTGGGGGAGGCAGGGACTGCCATAATACATCCCCTAACGCGTATATCCGAGGGTGTCATGTATCATCAAATTTAGTTGCCGAGCGTAAACCTAGAAATCACCCAACTACTTAGACTACAATTTGCCTCTAGATGTTAGAAATTTAAAGGGTGTTTTACTTCACACTAAGATTGAAGACTAATTCCACAGAATACCTTTTTTCCTTGCCTCCAACTGAACGAATATAGTATCTATTCGAGACCCACATTTGCATCAACATTCATCTCGAAGCAGCACTTCACACACACCTCACAACCACACCAGCGCGAAGCAGCTCCCTCCTAGCCCTTACCTGAACCTTCTTAACTTCCACCTTCAAATACCGCAACCTGGGACAGCTTCCAAGAACCTCTCCAATGCCTGCTGCAGTGATCTTAGGACACCCGAGCACAGTCAAACTATTGAGAATTCTCAGCCTACTTCTCGCAACCACTGCATCTGAAAACTTGTCGTTTTGCTGCACCTTGAGCTCCTCCAACTTAACACAAGCAGTGAGTAGTTTCAGCCATTCCTGCTCCTCCAACCCTAGGCAGCACACCAAGGAGAGGCGCTTCAGCTGTCCAAAAACAGCCGCTCGAGCAATGGAGTGAAAGGACATTGCCTGAATGCTTGGGCTTCGCGCAGCGGGAGAGGAAAGAGGACAAGGGGAGAGGCAAGAGGAGGTGGAGGAGGACGGTGTGTGGAAAGAGGAAGGCGGGGGGGAGGAGAGATACATGAGAGGAGGCGCAGAGGGAAGGGTTGGAGGCAGCCAGGTGTGGGGAGTGGTGGAGAAGTAGAGCACTTCAAGGGATAAGGACTCCAGGCGAGGACAGAACACTTGCACAGGGATTGCTGGCCGACACCCTTCAGAACGTTTGCCTGTTGACCTTCTGCTGCCTGACTGCTTTCCATCCTCTGGTGCTGCCGCTGCCTCCCCTGGTGCTGCCTCCCCTGGTGCTGCCTCCCCTGGTGCTGCTTCCCCTGGTGCTGCTTCCCCTGCTGCTGCTTCCCCTGGTGCTGTTTCCCCTGCTGCTGCTTCCCCTGGTGCTGCTTCCCCTGCTGCTGCTTCCCCTGCTGCTGCCTCCCCTGGTGCTGCCTCCACTGCTGCTGCTGCTGCATCTCCCCCTGCTGCTGATGCTGCATCTCCCCCTGCTGCTGGTGCTGCATCTCCCCCTGCTGCTGGTGCTGCATCCGCCACTGGTTGAGCCAGCGTGGCCCTCAGGGCCGTGTTGAGTTGGCGCAACGACTGGAAACTGGCGGACATGGCAGAAAACTGCTCCTCCAGTTCCTCCAGAAGCTCCCGTTGCCTACCCAACCCCTCTTCACGTGTCTCCACCGCACTGGACCACACCCCACCCAACACACCCTCAGGCAGGCCATCATCAGGCAGCATGCCATCCATGCCCCTGATGTCATCTCCTTCTTCCGCCTCCCCATCCCCATCCTCTTCTCCACCATTCAACACCGTGGCAAAGAATCCTGCCATTTGGCCAGCAGCCGTCTCTATATTGGAGTCAGCAGCAGCGGCATCTATATTCAAATCAGCAGCAGCAGCAGCATCTGTACTGGAATCAGCAGCAGCATTTGCATTGAATGCGCTCATCAGCTTCTCCTCCCACTCAACAGCCGCATTGGATGCGCGGATCGCAGCAGAGAAGGACCGGCACGCCGAGATCCCGGACCTGATCTTTCCGAGGCTGGCGGCGATCCGAGGCACAGCGTTCTCGCCAACAATGAAGGCCGCCCAGTGCGCGTCGTAACGGGCGGCCTTTGCGGCTTCGTCGGCTGCTTTGAAAAGGTCAACTACGTCAGACGCTGCTGCGATTTTGTCAGCCTGAGCCGCCGCTGCCTCTGTGCAGAAATCCACATATTTCCTGCAGCGCTTGCTGCTCCCACTACCTGTAGAAACACCTGCAGCGCTTGCTGCTGCAGAAACACCTGCAGCGCTTGCTGCTGCAGAAGCACCTGCAGCGCTTGCTGCTGCAGAAACACCTGCATGTCCATTCTCCCACCCTTCCACTCCACTCTCTCCTCCTGCCTCCCCTCCTGGCCGCCCTCCCGCAACCCCCGTCTGCTCCACGCGTACCAGCATAGCCACAAGGCAGTCCAGAGACACATTGTTTGGCAGTAGGTTCTCCTTAGACTCTATCACCCCTTCCACGCTCAGTGAGTGCAGGTTCCTGCAGGCTGCAAGCAAGCCCGGGCGGAAGCAGGGTAGACCAGCGAGGTGGAGGGAGTGGAGCTGGGAGGAGCAGCGAGAGAGGAGAGAGCTGAAGCCCTGTGCTCTGAACAAACGGTAGGTGGTGCCGTGGAGGGAGAGGGAGGAGAGAGAAGGATTGGCTTGGAGGATTGGGGCGAGGGAATCGGAGGAAATGAGTGGGGAGGAGTGGATTGCGAGGTGGGTGAGGGAGTGGAGGGAGCCTGAGAGGGAGCGGAGCTCGTACGGGTCGATGGTGCAGGAGTGGAGGGAGAGGGAGGAGAGGGCGGGGAAGAGGGAGAGGGAAGAGACGGAGCCCTGCAGATCGGCGGAGTGGATAGTGAGAGATGTGAGAGTTGTGCGGAGAGGGGATGGGGGGGAGGACGCGAGCGGGGAGGGGGGAGTGGGGGGGGAAGGTGAGGAGAAGGAAGCACGGGAAGAGCGGGACGAGGAGGAGGAGACAAGGGAGGAGGAGGTGAATGCAAGGGAGGAAAGTTCGGAAGAATCAGGGGCGCAGAGGGTGAGAGAGGTGAGGGAGGAGCAGCGGGAAATGGGGAGTAAGTCGGAGGGAACGTAGAGCAGCGTGAGGGACTGCAGTGAAGGGAGGAGGTGCACGGGAGGGAGTGGCGGCTGCCCTGTGTAAGAGAGACGCGAGCGCGCACGGCGCGAGTTCAGCTCGAGCGAGGTCAAGAGCCTGAACCAAGGGGGAAGGGGCGGGGGTCGAGGGGTTGAGAGGGAGGTTTGCAAAGGGAGGGATGAAGAGGATGAGGTGACGAGGATGAGGTGAAGAGGATGAGGTGAAGAGGATGAGGTGAGGAGAAGGAGAAGAGCTCTTCTTCTGATTTACGGAAGATAGGGATTGATGGACGGACGCATGGACGGACGGACGGACGGATGGAAAGATTGCACGCGTGCATGCATGATGGATGGATGGATGTGGATACGGAAAACGAGGACTTACGGGCAGTGCTTCGCGATCTTTCGCCACACTCGACCGTTGACGTTGAAGCCAGTCCAACCCGTCTCTAATTTCAGTTTTTCCAAATTCGGGCAGCCCGCTGCGATCCCCGCCATCAGCTGATTCCCGAGCCCGGATGAAATCTCCAATGTCAGATCCGTTATGTGGGTAAATACCCTTGAATAATCGTCAAGCGCTTTCAGCCATTGTCGCACATTCACAAATCTTCGGCACGAGAAGTAGTCGAGGCGGAGCGCGTGCGGCGTGCGCCGAGAGAGGCGGCGGAGGCGGGAGCAGGAGAGAGCAACGTTGCGGCGATCGGATGGGTGATCTGCGAGGCCGAGAATGATTTGGAGGAGCTCGTCGGGGAGCGATAGCAGCCTGCTGTTGCTGGGGCAATCGCCTCTTTTCGCCATCGCAAGAGAACAAGGTAAAATTAGTACTTAGAGTTTACTTAGCTAATGCCTCCTGTGAACTCAAACTACTCCACCTGGAAACGTATGCAACCTCGAAGGGCGTCTTAGTGGCACGTCTAAGAAGACTTTACTACAGCGATCAGATGACCTATGAGACCGAAAACAATCGTCGGGGCGAGAGAAAAAAGTCCAGAGTAGGTCAATAATCAGGCGGTTGCGAGCGGGGCGACAGACTCCACAACGAGGAGCACTCTTGTGATGGGAGGTGGACAGAAATACTACCGTTGACGGATGGCGATGACGCGTTTGCGATGTGCGTGAACTGCGCATGATACTGGGACGGGTGTGTCAATGGTGAGTGATGTGTCTCCTGCAGTATGTGATGTGATGCGTGCCTTGCGGTTCGTCGTGATGCGTTGTGTAGAATTCTGGGCTTTCTTTTTTCCAACACAGAGAGTTTCGCTAGTGGAGGCTGGGACGCTGGGGCACGCTTTGATTGGCGGAACTGCAGAGCCAAGAATTCGAACCGAGCAGAACCGAGAGGTGTGTGAATTGAACTGAAACCAAACGAAATCTAGCGGCGAGATGTCAGTTCGATTCACCATAGTGAAAACCTCTGGAACTCTACGAAAGCGTATAGAACCAGATGTCAAATTTCTGCGCCGTAAGGTACCTATCCTCACCCTCTTACCGCTGGGATTCACCTCTCTAACAAGGTACCCATCCCATCCCATCCCAACCCCTTAGCGCCCAGTAATCTTCTTCAGGCACCCCTTCATCACGAGATCAGTCTACTATCAGTTGCGACAACACACGTGACATAGTATATTTACATTATATACATGATAAAAGTGAATGGTGTTATTGTTCCCAGAAGCAAACTTGATACGTACACACCTCCGTCATTGATGTCACACTCCCACACCCCTCACAACCACACCAGCACGAAGCAACTCTCTTCGAGCCCTTGCCAAAACCTTCCCCACTTCTACCTTCAAGTACCGCAGCCTAGGGAAGCTTCCAAGAACATCTCCAATACCGCTTGCCGTAATCTTAACACACTCTAGCAGCGTCAGACTAGCGAGCTTTTTGAGTCTGCTTCCCACCACCACTGCATCTGAAAATTCACTATTTTGCACGACCCTTAGCTCCTCCAACTTGGAGCATGCTCCGAGGAGTTCCAGCCAGTCCTGCTCCTTCAACCCCACGCAGCACACCAGGGCGAGCAGCTTGAGGTGCATGAATGCTGCAGCCCGGGCAAGAGACTCAAAGGACATTGGGTGGTACCCTGGGCATAGGGCAGAGGAGGAGCGGGAAGATGTGGAGGCGAGGGAAGAGGAGGGGTCGAGGGAAGAGGAGGAGGATGAGTGACATGAAGAGGACGGTGGCGAGGCGGGGGAGGAGGAGAGGTACATGCGGGGAGACTCGGAAGAAAGGGAGGGAGGCAGCCAGGGGACAAGGGGCGGGGAGGCGAAGCGGAGGGATCGGAGGGTCAGAGACTCCAGAGGAGGGCAGAACACTTGCACGAGGACTGCTGCTGCTGCTTTGCTCCCTTCAGAATGCTTGAAGCTTGACTTTCCGCTGCTTAGATTTGCATCCCCTGCTGGCGCTTTCCCTGCTGCCCCCACTCCCAGCCCTCTGTCTTCTGGCGTGTTTTCCACCTGCTGCAATGCTTCCGCCTCCCCTCCTCTCACTCCTGAAACTGCTGCTATTCCCTTACGCACTGCCGCCCCCGCATGAGGCGCTGCTGCTCCATCTGCTCCTCCTCCTGCTGCTGCCCCTCCTCCTCCTGATGTTGATGCCCCACCTCCTGCTGCTGCTGCATCCACCACTGACCGAGCAAAAGTGGGGGTGAGAGGGCGCAAGGAGTCGAAGCTCGCAGACACGGCGTCAGTGTGCTCCCCCAGCTCCTCAATCAGCTCCTGCAGCCTCTCCACCCCCTCTGCACGCGTCTCCACCGCATCAGACCGCACCCCACCCAGCACACTCTCAGGAAGGCCATCATCAGGTAGCATGCTATCCACCCCCCTGCTTCCATCTACTGTGTCTGTCTCCTCCCCACTTCTGTCCTCCGCTTCTTCATGATTTAGCTCCGTAGTAAAGAATCCTGGAGCCTGGAGAGCAGCAGCAGCAGGTATATTACCAGCAGTAGACATATCAGAGACACCAACAGCAGCAGCAGCAGCAGCAGCAAGAGCCTGCATCAGCGCCTCCTCCCACTCGATCGCCGCATTGGCCTCACGTACCCCGGCGCAGAAGGACCGGCACGCCGAGATCCCGAACCTGATCTTCCCGAGGCTGGCAACGATCCGAGGCACGGCGTCCTCACCCTCCACACGTGCCGCCAAGAGTGCATCAGAATGGGCGGTTTTGGAGGCTTCAATGGCTACTCGAGAAAGGCGGACCACATCGCCTACTGCTGCTAGCTTATCCTCCTGCGCTGCCTCTGCCTCTCTGCGAATATCCACGTACCCCCCCCACTGCTCGTCGTTCCCTCTTGGGGATACTTGTGCTGCTGCAGCAGCAGCAGAAACACTCTGATGTGCTTTCTCTGATACGTCTGCTCCACCATCCCCTTCTGCCTCCTCCCTTGAATCCCCTCCTGCCTCCTCTCCTGCCTCCTCTCCTCTCCGTTCCCCTCTCCGTTCCACGCGCACGAGCATACCCACAAGGCGGTCCAATGATACAGCGCGTGGCAATAAGGAGTCTGAGGCACAATCGACCACCCCTTCCAGGCTGAGCGACCGCAGGGCACTGCAGGCTGCAAGCAAGCCCGGGCGGAAGGAGGGTAGACCAGCGAGGTGGACGGAGTGGAGCTGGGAAGAGGAGTGAGAGAGGAGAGAGCGGAAGACCTGTGCGGCAAACAGACAGTAGGTGGTGCCGTGGAGGGAGAGGGAGGAGAGAGCAGGGTTGGCTTGGAGGATGGGGATGAGGGAGTGGGAAGAGACGAGTGGGCAGGAGTGGATGGTGAGGTGGGTGAGAGAGTGAAGGGAGGGTGAGAGAGCGCGGAGTTCGTATGGGTCGATGGTGCAGGAGTGGAGGGAGAAGGAGGCGAGGGAGGGGAAGAGGGAGAAGGAAGAGACGGAGCCCTCAAGTTCAGCAGAGTGGATTGTGAGAGACGTGAGCGATGCGCGTAGAGGGGATGGGGGGGAGGATGCAAGGGAGGAGGATGAGGAAGAGGAGGAGAAGGCAAGGGAGGAGAGAGCGGAGGATTCAGGTGCCCAAAGGGTTAAAGTGGTGAGGGAGGAGCAGCGGGGAATGGAGAGGTAGTCTGAGGGAACATATAGGAGAGAGAGGGACTGCAGTGAGGGGAGGAGGTGCACGGGAGGGAGTGGCGGCTGCCGTGTGTAGGAGAGACGCGCGCGCGCATAGCGTGAGTTTAGCTCCAGAGAGGTCAGGAGCCTGAAGGAAGGGGAAGGGGCGAGGGGAAGGAAGGAAGGGGAAGGGGCGAGGGGAAGGAAGGAAGAGGAGAGGGGGGTATTGCAGTGAGGGGAGGAGGTGCATGGATGGATGGATGGATGGATGGATGGATGGATGGATGGATGGATGGATGGATGGATGGATGGATGGATGGATGGATGGATGGATGGATGGATGGATCGATGGATGGATGGATGGATGGATGGATGGATGGATGGATGGATGGATGGATGGATGGATGGATGGATGGATGGATGGATGGATGGATGGATGTGGATGGATGAAGGAGAGGAACGGAGGGTGTGCAAAATACGTCTACTTACGGGCAGTGTGTCGCGAGTGCGCGCCACGCTCGGCCGTTGACGTTGAGCTATTCCAACCCGTCACCCATTTCAGTTTTTCCAGTTTCGGGCAGCCCGCTGCAATCCCCGCCATGAGCTGATTCCCGAGCCCGGTAGGGATTTCCACGGTCAGATCTGTTATGTGGGTAAATACCCTTGAATAATCATCAAACGCTTTCAGCCACTGTCGCAGATTCGTAACCCTTCGCCGAGAGTAGAAGTCGAAGCTGAGCGCGTGTGGCGTGCGCCGAGAGAGGCGGCGGAGGCGGGAGCACGAGAGCGCGAGGTTGCGGCGATCGGATGGGTGATCTGTGAGGCCGAGAATGATTTGGAGGAGCTCGTCGGGGAGCGATAGCAGCCTGCTGTTGCCGGCGCGATCGCTTCTCTTCGCCATCGCGAGCTAACCGATTTGGTTGATTGCCTCCTGTAACCTCAGAATACTCCACGTGACAGCATCTGTCACCTCGTAAGCTTTCTTACAAACACGTGTAAGAAGAAAAAAAATGTCGGGACACGTGGGACCTTGAGCTACGGGATCCGCTGATCTGAGAGGCCGACAACGATCCGCGCGAGCTCGTTGAGTTGAAAGAGGAAACGCGAGTAGCTAAGGAGGAATCAGGTTCTGGCAAAGCGATTGAGACACTGTGAATTTGTGATGGCAATGGCGGACAGAAATATGACCGTTGACTAGAGCGATGATGGATGTGTCAGAGGTGTGACATGAGTGTGTGCAGACATAAACACTTACTGGAGGTGGCGTGAAAGCTGGGACGCGCGCTGATTGGTGGGAACTGGTGAACTGGACTGGGCCTCACAGAAAACATCTCTAACGCGTACGTCCGAGCCAAATGGTCGTGTAACCAATTGTACAGCATGTAATAATAAGTTTACGATTCCACTGTTGTGCAACTAGCTATTATCCTTTCCTCCAGTTCAACTGAAAAAAGAAGAAAATATAATATTAGAAAACCGCATTTGCATCAGCATTCATCTCACACCCCCCTCACAACCACACCAGCACGAAGCAACTCTCTCCGAGCCCTTTCCGAGACCTTCCCCGCTTCCACCTTCAAGTAACGCAATCTTGGGAAGCTTCCAAGAGCCTCTCCTATAACTGTTGCTGTTATCCTATCACACATAACGAGCCTCTCCTATAACTGTTGCTGTTATCCTATCACACATAACCACCGTCAAGCTAGCGAGTGTTCCCAGTCTGCTTCCTGCCACTACTACATCTGAAAATTTGTCATTTTGCTGCACCTTTAGTTCCTTCAACCTGACACATGCGGCAAGCATTTGGATCCACTCCTGCACCTCCAACCCCAAGCACTGCACCAGGACCAGCCGTTTGAGCTGTCCAAAAACAGCAGCTCGAGCAATGGACTGAAAGGACATTGGCTGAATGCTTGGGCTTGGGCCAGGGGAAGGGGAGAAGATAGAAGAGGCGGAGGAGGAAGATGAGTGGCAAGAAGTGGAAGGTGGGAGGGAGGAGAGATACATGAGAGGAGATGCAGAGGGAGGTGTTGTAGGCAGCCACGAGACAAAGGGAGTGGGGGAGAAATAGAGCCCCTGGAGGGTCAAGGAATCTAAGCGAGGGCAGAATACGTGCGCGGGAACTGCCGCCTCCCCTGCTGCTGCCTCCCCTGCTGCCGCACCCAGCACTGGTTGCGGCAGAGTGGCCGCACCCAAGGAAGAGTTCAGATGGCGCAGAAAATGCAAGCTTTCACGCACGGCCATATGCTGCTCCCTCAGCTCCTCCGTCAGTGGCCTCACCATGCCCAACACCTCTTCACGTGTCTCCACCGCACCGGACCGCACCCTACCTGGCGCACTCTCAGGCAAGCCATCAACGGCCAGAATGCCATCCATGCCCCTGATATTATCCCCTTCCTCCTCCCCATCCATGTCCTCTTGTCCAAAATTTGCATCTGTATAAAAAAATCCTGCGGCCTGGCCAGCAGCATTAGCGGCGTTGGTGTCAGCAGCAGCAGGAGCAGGAGTAGCAACGAATGCCCTCATCAGCCTTTCCTCCCACTGAAAAGCCGCCTTCGACTCGCGAACCGCCAGGCAAAATGACCGGCATGCCGAAATCCCAGACCTGATATTCCCGAGGCAGGCAGCAATCTGTGCCACCGCGATCTCTCCCTCTGCACGCGCCGCCCAGCTGGCGTCAGATTGGGCGATCCGAATGGCTTCTTCAGCAGCATCAAAGAAATTGATTGCGCTTTGTGTTGCCACGAACTTGTCTGCCTGAGCCGCCACTGCCTCTGTGCGAAAGTCCACGTATCTCCCACTGCCCCCTGCTGCTGCTCTGCATGCTATCCGTGACGCCACAGCAGCTGCTGCGGCTGCAGAACCACCCGCATTTCCTTTCTCCCACCCTTCCGTTCCAGACTCCCCTCCTGCCTCCCGTCCTGCCTCCCCTCCTGCCCGTCCCCCCCCAACCACGATCCGCTCCACCCGCTCGAGCATACTCACAAGGCCGTCCAGAGACACATCCCGCGGAAATTGCCGCCCCGGAGGATCTATCACCGCTTCCACACTCAGCGAGCTCAGACCCCTGCAGTCTGCAAGCAGGCCCGGGCGGACGCAGGGTAGGCCGGCGAGGTGGAGGGAGTGGAGCTGGGAGGAGGAGTGAGAGAGGAGGGAACGGAGGCCCTGTGCTCCGAACAGACGGTAGGTGGTTTCGTGGAGGTGAGGGAGGAGAGAGCAGGGTTGGCTTGGAGGATGGGGATGAGGGAGCGGGAGGAGACGAGTGGGAAGGAGTGGATGGTGAGGTGGGTGAGTGAGTGGAGGGAGCGTGAGAGGGAGTGGAGGGAGCGTGAGAAGGAGTGAAGCTCGTTTGGATCAATGGTGCAGCAGTGGAGGGAGAGGGAGAAGAGGGAAGGAAAGAGGGCGAGGGATGCGAGGGAGCCCTGAAGTTGGGGAGTGAATGGTGAGGGACGTGAGGGACGTGCGGAGAGAGGATGGGGGGGAGGACGCAACTGAAGAGGCGGATGAGGAGGCAAGGGGGGAGGAGGAGAAGGCAGGAGCACTCAGGGCTCAGGGAGAGAGAGGAGGACTCAGGGCTCCAGAGAGTGAGGGAGGTGAGGGAGGAGCAGCGGGTAATGGGGAGTAAGTCGGAGGGAACGTAGAGGAGAGAGAGGGACTGCAGTGAGGGGAATAGGTGCAGGGGGGGGAGTGGCGGCTGCCGTATGTAGGAGCGCTGATAGCGTGAGTTTAGCTCCAGTGAGGTCAAGAGCCTGAAGGAAAGTTAAAGGGGCGGGCGTCGAGGGGTTAAGAGAGAGGTGTGCAGAGGGAGGGCTGAAGAGGGAGGGGTGAGGGAAGAGGATGAGGTGAAGGACGGACGGACGGACGGACGGACGGATGGATGGATGGATGGATGGATGGATGGATGGATGGATGGATGGATGGATGGATGGATGGATGGATGGATGGATGGATGGATGGATGGATGGATGGATGGATGGATGGATGGATGGATGGATGCATGCATGCACGGACGCATGCATGCATGCATGGATGGATGGATGGATGTGGATGAATAGACTGGCCACAAGGTTCCGTGGGAGAGAAGGGTAACGGAAATGTCTGTTTACGGGCAGAGCTTCGCGAGCTTTCCTTTCTTGAGATGCCTTCCCACCGTGAGCGACGACGACCAAGAGGAAAAACGGAACCGTCTACTTACGGGCAGTTCTTCGTGAGATTTCGCCACGCTCGATCGTTGACGTCGACACCATTCCAGCCCCACACCAATTTCAGCTTTTCCAATTTCGGGCAACCCGCTGCGATCCCCGCCATCAGCTAATTCCCGAGCCCGTATGAAATCTCCACGGTCAGATCCGTTATGTGGGTGAATACCCTTGAATAATCGTCAAACGCTTTCAGCCATTGTCGCAGATTCACAACCCTTCGACGCAAAGAGTAGTACTCGAGGCGGAGCGCGTGCGGCGTGCGTCGAGAGAGGCGGCGGAGGCGGGAGCAGGAGAGAGCGACGTTGCGGCGATCGGATGGGTGAACTGCGAGGCCGAGAATGATTTGGAGGAGCTCGTCGGGGAGAGATAGAAGCCTGCTGTTGCCGGCGCGATCGCTTCTTTTAGCCATCGCGAGCTGATCGTTCACTTAGCTAATTGCCTTTTGAGACCTGAAAACACTCCGCGTGGTAACATCTGTAACCTCAAAACGCTTCTAAGTGACTCGTGCAATTTCAGGAAAAATCCAGCTCGAAACACGTGTCACCTCTGACGCAGCCATCAGATTAAATAAGAAACCCAGGACTCGTCGGAGCGAGAGAGGCAGAACCGATCAGGCTGTTGCTGATTCACAGCACCGATGTAGGGTGGACAAAACATGACCGTTGAAGGCGATGGATTTGTGTTCATGGCAGAGCAAACAGAAGATTACAAACGAAGTGATATTACTGGAGAAAGAGGCGGGAAAGCTGGGACATGCTCTGATTGGGTGGAACTGGAGAGCCTGCCATCCGAACCGAACCCAACTGAACCAGGAGGTTTTTGAAACGAAACTGAACAGATCCAATTACCAACGAGGGGTCAGGTCACCGATCTGACTACTTCTGGAAACCACTCACCTGTTACGGTACCCATTTAAAAACTGTTGTCGCCGAATTCCACCTCTCTATGACTCACCCTGACCTGACCCCGAGAGCAGATCTGCGGGGATGAGTTGGCGACGGCTACTCTGTCGCAGGGACGGAGCAGACCTGAAACGAACCATCTGGTTGGGGTCGCCGCGTCGCAAATCTGGTGTTAGGACCCAGCAGCATGCTTCAGACGGCTTGCGGAGAAATGAGTCGGCTTTTACAGGGTATGACAATTATGAGTCACGTGCTTTTTCCCGAAAACGCCATGGCTTCCGGTCTGATCCATCAGCAACAGCCAGATTTCTGACACCTCGGGAATGAACTGCCCGAAAAGCTCGTTGCTCCGTCACAGAAACGTTTATTTTTAGGTTGAAGACATGACTGAGTATTTTAGCATTGTCAGTGAAGCTGACATTCAATTGACACAAATGAGCTAGTGTCGCGAAACTTCCGGAATTAGGAACTCTGGAGGCAACAGAAACTAGATTGTATGGGATACTGATATTCAGGATACAGCTGAACCAGTACCAGCAGAGACCTTTGACATTCCAAACTGAGTCGATAACTAGACAACGTGTCGTCATAGTAGGTGCACTTTGACGACTCTCCGAGAGGTGTCGCCAGTTTTCAGCCCCCTTTGCAAATTCTCATCAGTTCTCAGCCATGGATCGGGGAGCTTCTCGATACCAGAGTGATCTGAATCGACCTCTGGCCAACCTCCAAAGCTCCTCCGGCAATCCCTATGGACCGTCCGGCTATTCCCAGGGCTCCTCGGGTTACCCTAACTCGCAGGGATTTGCAGCAGGCTCCGCTGGTCAGCACTACGGTATGGTCGGGAGGGTTGAGGGAGGCGGGGTGGGAGGTGCAAACCCTAGCATGGCTGCACCCGTGTCCCCGTTCCAGAGTGCGTACGGCCAGCAGGTGCAGGCACAGCAGGTGGAGCAGCAGGTGCAGCAGCAGCAGGATTCCAATCAGCTGAGGTACCAATATGTGAACCAGCAGCAATTGCAGCAGAGCCAGCAGCAGGAGCACCAACGGCAGTACCAACAACAGCAACAGCAACAGCAACAGCAGCAACAGCAACAGCAGCAGGAGCACCTTCAGCAGCAGCAGCAGCAGCAGGTTGGGTCCGGAGCTGTGGCGATGCAGGACGCCAACGCCTTGTGGGAGCGGATTGAAGGGCTGGAGGTAAGACCGCTCACCTCATTCCTTCTCAGGCACTGCTGCAGGCTTGGCAAAAGCACAGTGAAGACGTTCTGGCCTGGATAATGATGTATTTCAGAAGAAGTTTTCTCCGTCTCTCGGCTGTCTGTGTGGCTCCAGGCGGACCTGCGCAGTGCACGGCTGGAGGTAGCGAGAACAGTGGCCAGCGCTCGACAAGCATCGCTGCATGTTAGCCTGGTTTCCCCCATTCCAATCTCTCCGTCTCTCCCTCTCTCTGGCTGTGCGTCTCCAGGCGGATCTGCGCAGTGCACGGCTGGAGGCAGCGAGGGCGAGGGCTGCTCTGGAGGCGCAGGAGCACAGATGCGCTGGACTGATGGAGGATGTGAGTGCTGCTGGTAACGTGGTAACAGAGGTGACTTGTGAGTTTGACTTAAAGGCGAGCGCTGCTCTGGAAGCTCAGGAGCACAGATGTGATGTGCTGGACTGATGGAGGATGTGATGTGAGTGGTGCTGGTAACGTGGTCATGTATCTCTGATCTCTTGACTAACGTATGTGCTGGTTTCGTTGTATGGTAACATATCTTTGATCGCTGGAGTAACATATCTCTTTGAATTAAGTGATCAGGCAACCAGCCAGGTCTGATTCATTTGTTTATTCGCATGAAGAAAATTGCCAGTGTCCATTCTCTTTGAGCGACTATTCCTCTACTTGTCGTACAGCCTCTTTGTCACCATCTTCCCATGCACACTCCCCTCCCCTCTCATTCCCGCTCTTCTCCCGTCTCTCCCCTCCCCTCTCATTCCCGCTCTTCTCCTGTCCCTCCCTTCCCCTCCCCTTCCCTCCCCTCCCTTTCCCTCCCCTCCCCTTCCTTCCTCCCTACGCACAACCCCTCAGGTGAGGCGCCTGGAATCAGACAGGGCAGTCCTGAAGAAGCAGGTGGACGGGTTCGCATCTCAGCTGCTCCCATCCTCCCTTCTGCCCCCCTCCTCTCCCTGTCCCCCCATTCGCGTGCTCGCTTTTCCTCCCCACCCCTCCTAACAACCTCTCAGGTGCGGCGCCTGGAGTCGGACAGGGCGCTCCTGAAGAAGCAGGTGGACGCGTTCACGTCTCAGCTGCACCCATTCTCGCTGCTGCCCCTCCCCCGCCCTTCATCTCCTCTCCCGTCCCCTCCGCACATGACATCCTCCCAGGTGCGGCGGCTGGAATCAGACAGGACGCTGTTGAAGAAGCAGGTGGACGCGTTCGCGTCTCAGCTGCACCTCACCAACTCGCAGCTGGCTCAGGCGCAGGCGGCTCTGCAGGCAGCAGAGGAGCAGAACAATGCGCACTCCAACCAGGTGCGTGGCTGATAATTTACTTTCACCAGATAGCACTGTTTAGCCGAGGCAGCAGTGGGACTAGGCGTGTTCGCGTCTCAGCTGCACCTCACCAACTCGCAGCTGGCTCAGGCGCAGGCGGCTCTGCAGGCAGCAGAGGAGCAGAACAATGCGCCCTCCAACCAGGTGCGTGGCCGGTCATGCCTTGCCTAACCTCTTCCACCTGTCTATTGATCAAACCAGAGGCCATTGCAGGCAGCAAAGGCGATCAGGCAGTGCATGCAGTCGATGCATTGCAGGGACAACGCGCCAATGCCCTGCATCTTTTCTCCTCACTCTCTTGCCTTCCTTCCCCCATCCTCATCCGTCTCCCCTTTTCTCGTGCCTTTCCTCCCCCCGTCCTGAACTGAATCCCCATCCGTCGTCCCTGTGCTGTGTGGCCCTCCCTCCCACCATCCCCGTCCCCATGCCTCAGTCGGTGGAGCAGGCAGCAGCGCTGCGCAAGGCAGTGGAAGCTGCAGGCATTGAGAGGGATGCGGCTGTGCTTGCCAAGGTACTCTTTCTTGTATTGTAAACAGGCTATTTTTGAGACGTGTAAACAACGCCTCAAAAATAACCTGTTTACACGCGGCTGTGCTTGCCAAGGTACTCTTTCTTTCTTTCGTTCTTTTTTGTTGATGTTTAATCCTTTGATCGTTATTGGATCTTTTCCATTCGCTAGTGCAATGTAGGTAGGTAGTGCTGCTGTGCTCGGAACAGGTGCCATACTCCAGCCTCCTCTCTCCAAGGAGTGTAAGATGCTCGTACAAGGAGTGGATGGGCTTGGTACTGCATGTTATGCAGGGGGCAACTGAGTCGACTCAAAAGTCAAAGTCACCTTTTGAGTCGACTCAAAAGTGTAAGATGCTCGTACAAGGAGTGGATGGGCTTGGTACTGCATGTTATGCAGGGGGCAACTGAGTCGACTCAAAAGTCAAAGTCACCTTTTGAGTCGACTCAAAAGTGTAAGATGCTCCTACAAGGAGTGGATGGGCTTGGTACTGCATGTTATGCAGGGGGCAATTGGGTAAGCGTCTAAGGGCACTTGCTGCTGTTGTTGCCTCCTACTGTTCCCTATTGTCTCGGTCTCATCTGCTCTCCCCCTTTCCCCACACCTCCCCTTCTTTTTGGAGCAGGAGGACCTTGCATCGCAGGTGCGGGTGCTGAAGAGACGACTTCAGGGCTGATGCTGTTGTTACCTCCCTTACCTGTGGCTCCGTGCCTCCCCTTCCCTCGCCTTCCACTCCCTCCCTCCCCTCTTTGGAGCAGGAGGACCTGGCATCACAGGTGCGGGTGCTGAAGAGACGACTTCAGGAGGCAGAGGAGGAGCAATGCAAGGTAACTAGAGGGAGCTCAGTGCAATGTCAAGGTAACTAGAGGGAGCTCAGTGCAATGCAAGGTAACTAGAGGGAGCTCAGTGCAATGTCAAAGTAACTAGAGCGAGCTCAGTGCAATGTCAAGGTAACTAGAGGGAGCTCAGTGCAATGTCAAGGTAACTAGAGGGAGCTCAGTGCAATGTCAAGGTAACTAGAGGGAGCTCAGTGCAATGCAAGGTAACTAGAGGGAGCTCAGTGCAATGTCAAGGTAACTAGAGGGAGCTCAGAGCAATGTCAAGGTAACTAGAGGGAGCTCAGTGCAATGTCAAGGTAACTAGAGGGAGCTCAGTGCAATGCAAGGTAACTAGAGGGAGCTCAGTGCAATGCAAGGTAACTAGAGGGAGCTCAGTGCAATGTCAAGGTAACTAGAGGGAGATCAGTGCAATGCAAGGTAACTAGAGGGAGCTCAGTGCAATGTCAAGGTAACTAGAGGGAGCTCAGTGCAATGTCAAGGTAACTAGAGGGAGCTCAGTGCAATGTCAAGGTAACTAGAGGGAGCTCAGTGCAATGTCAAGGTAACTAGAGGGAGCTCAGTGCAATGCAAGGTAACTAGAGGTAGCTCAGTGCAATGTCAAGGTAACTAGAGGGAGCTCAGTGCAATGTCAAGGTAACTAGAGGGAGCTCAGTGCAATGCAAGGTAACTAGAGGGAGCTCAGTGCAATGCAAGGTAACTAGAGCGAGCTCAGTGCAATGTCAAGGTAACTAGAGGGAGCTCAGTGCAATGTCAAGGTAACTAGAGGGAGCTCAGAGCAATGTCAAGGTAACTAGAGGGAGCTCAGTGCAATGTCAAGGTAACTAGAGGGAGCTCAGTGCAATGCAAGGTAACTAGAGGGAGCTCAGTGCAATGCAAGGTAACTAGAGGGAGCTCAGTGCAATGTCAAGGTAACTAGAGGGAGATCAGTGCAATGCAAGGTAACTAGAGGGAGCTCAGTGCAATGTCAAGGTAACTAGAGCGAGCTCAATAGGAGCGCCTCTGTGCAAGGTAACAGCGGGCATTGGCAATGGGGAGCAGTAGAGAGCTGCTGGTTAGTAGCATGGATGGTCTGTCTGTCGCATGCGGTCCATCGTTGATATGAGGAGGGGTTTGTACCTCGTGGTAGCAGCAGAGCTGAGAACGTGTGTGATAAGTCGAGTTTTGAGTCGACTCAAAACTTGCATGCGGTCCATCATTGATACTGAGGGGTTTGTTTGTACCTCGTGGTAGCAGCAGAGCTGAGAACACTGCAGCATTTAACAGAGGCCATAGTGGATCGGGCAGGTGTGGCGTGTGCCCACTCCGTTTCTTTCTTCCCTTCCCTTCCTCCCTCCATTTCCCACCATTTGCAGGCAGAAGAGGCATCGGCCGCATTAGTAGCAGAGCTGAGGGCGCTGCAGCACTCCACAGAGGCCACAGTGGATTGGGCCAGCTCAGCGGGATAATTATTTTCTCCCTCTTTCCTCTGTGTTCCTCCTTCCATACTATCCTATTACAGGCAGAAGAGGCATCGGCGGCGCTAGCAGCTGAGCTGAGGGCGCTGCAGCACTCAACAGAGGCCACAGTGGATCGGGCAGGTGCGGCATTTGCTCCCGACCCTGACCAGCTCAGGGTTGCTGAAGCTGCCAGAGATGCCGCCAAGGCTGAGCTGCAGGTACGGAACAGGCGGGGAGGGGCGCGGAGAGAGGCTGACTTGAATTTGGTTTGTGCGCAAGATCTATGGTCACTTGAAAACCTCTTTGTAGTGACTCCAATGCATGGTCTTGATTGCAAAGATCACCACGAACCTACCTAACCTCTTGTTCCAATACTTATCTGCCCACCACAGGACCTGCGCCAGGAACTGACAGGCATGCGGCAGCAGCTGATAGCTGAGACGCAGAGGGCGGCATGAGATGCCTATTATGCCCGTATGCCTATTTTCCCTCTCGCAACCCCTCTCCTTCATCCCACCACACAGGACCTGCGCCAGGAACTGACAGGCATGCGGCAGCAGTTGATAGCGGAGAGGCAGAGGGCGGCATGAGATGCCTATTATGCCCGTATGCCTATTTTCCCTCTCGCAACCCCTCTCCTTCATCCCACCACACAGGACCTGCGCCAGGAACTGACAGGTATGCGGCAGCAGTTGATAGCGGAGAGGCAGAGGGCGGCATGAGATTCCTATTATGCCCGTATGCCTATTTTCCCTCTCGCAACCCCTCTCCTTCATCCCACCACACAGGACCTGCGCCAGGAACTGACAGGCATGCGGCAGCAGCTGATAGCGGAGAGGCAGAGGGCGGCAACGGCTACTGGAGGCAAGGAGGCTGTTGAGAAGCAGCTGGCAGTGGTGCAGGCAAAGCTGAAGGTGGGTGGGGCAAGGGGGAGGGGGAAGCTCTGGGTGAAGAATGATTGGTGGTAGGTGCATTTGAAAAGTGGGTGGAGAGTAGGCAAGGCGAGTCTGCGTTTCCTTTCTTTTGTTTTTTGCTTGTAAACTGCTTTCATGGTGTTCCTTTTTTTTTTCTTCTTCTTCTTCTTCTTCTTATTTTTCTTCTTCTTCTAACTTCAGGAGGCATTGGAAGCAGAGGAGAGGCTCAAGATCCATGCCAAGGTGGAGGTTCGACAAGAGGTGGAAGGGGACCTCAGGTCCAACATCGAGGCTGAGGTTCAGCAGAAGCTGGAAGCGGAGGTCCGGGAAGCAGCTGAGGCTGAGACTCGGAAGAAAATGGAATCCGAGGTTCGGCAGGACGTCGAGGGGAAGGTTCGGAAAGAGCTTGAAACGGAGGTTCGGGAGAAGTTGAAGGCAGAGGTTCGGGAGGAGCTAGGAGCAGAAGCTGGGAGAAATGCTGTGGAGGTCTTAAAGCCCAGCAGTCAAGGATCGGTGGGATCGGTAGATGTGGGAACTCAAGTGATATCTGTGAGCGAGGAGGCTCGGAAAGAGATTGAAGCAGCCGCTGTAGCTCGGATGCGACAGGAAATGGAAGAAGAGATTCGGAAGGAGCTTCGGAACGAGTTTGAGAAGCAGATTTGGGAAGAGGTGACTGAGAAGGTTCGGGAGGAGGTGCGGAAGGAGGTAGAATTGGAGTTGAAAAAGTCTAAGGGCGATTCTGAGGGTGCTTCGACTGCTGCTGCTGCTGGTGGAGCTGGTGGTGGAGTTACGGTTGAGAGTGGTGGAGAGGGTGTAGGGGACAATGAGAGAACGGAGGTGGAGGGTAAAGGTGAAGATGTGGGAGGTGGAGGAGAAAGAGAAGGAGCAGGAGCAGGGGCAGGAGAAGGGGCAGGAGCAGGGATCGGAGAAGGGGTGGGAGCAGGGGCAGGAGCAGGGGGGGGAGAATTGGCGGGAGCAGGGGGAGGAGAGGCAAGTGAAGCAGTGGGGCAGTCTACTGAAGAGCTTGCACGATTGAAGGTAATTTGCCATTCCTTTCTTCCCCGCTCTAATGGCTGCCTGGTTCTTATTACGCTCGCACGCATGCAATGGGACGAGTTCTGAGTCTTCGTTTTGGACTCTCTCAAGAGTTTTGCTTGGGCGCATTCAGACTCAGCTTGTCTGCTGGGTTCTCAGGTCATAGAAAAGCTCTACATGCGGAGTGAAACTTTTGGATTTCAAGAAAAAATACAATTCCGGAAGTCATTTCTGCATCTCACCGCTGGAGTACGGGGGGAGAGAGCAGAGGCGAAGTCGGGGGCTTTAATGCAGGACCAAGCTAAGGCTTAAGGTTCCGCTTCTGCCTTTTTCTGCTTCTGCTTCTGCTGCACCCATGGCCATGGCAGGAGGACGCGGAGAAAGCAGAGGAGGAGCGGGGTCAGCTGCAGCAGCAGTTGGAGAAGCTACAGGTGTCGCTGGCTAAGAAGGAGAAGGCACGGCTGAGACTGCTGTCTGAGGTGAGTGCTCCTTCAGGCAAGGTGTGTCATGCAGTTGAGTTATGCAGCAGCAGCAGTTGGAGAAGCTGCAGGTGTCTCGGCTCGGGCTAAGGAGAAGGCACTGTTGAGACAGCTGTCTGAGGGTAACGATTGAGACTGCTGGCTGTCTGAAATGTGTGCTCCTCTAACCGAGGGGATGTTTTAGTTGACACAGCAATAGAGACGGTGACCTAAGCTGGCTGCAGCAGTTTGTGAAGCTGCTGGATGCTTGCAGAGGCCCAGCATCGCTTTTTCCAATCACATTCTGTACTCATCGCTTCCTGGATTGTACTATTTATATCACAACCATCCCATTCCTGCCGTCCGTCCACGAACGCCCTTCAGGTGGATTCCCAGTCGCTGCAGATAGAAAGACTATTCGCGGAGAATTCAGGGCTGGCAGCGGGGCTCAAGGAGGTCTCTGCCATTGCCGCCCGCTGGGAGGCTCAGGTGAATGCAACAAGGCACTCAGGTGGGAACAACAGAGGCTCAGGCTGGGGCAATAGAGACTCAGGTGGGGACAACAGAGGCTCAAGCAGGGGCATTAGAGACTCAGGTGGGGACAACAGAGGCTCAGGTGAGTGCAGCAGTAGCTTAGGTGGTGAGTGCAACAGAAACTCAATCTCAGGTCTGTGAAAGTAGCAAATTGAACAAGTAGCTTCATTAGAGGAGAAACCTAGCATACATGGTTGGAAGAGAGGCTTGGAAGAGAAAGGTGAAGGTGACCATAGGTTGGGTTGACCTCACTTGGGGGAGTGAGGCAACCATGGGTCAAGTGGGTTGGGTTGCCCACAGTTTGTAGAAGTGAGGCAACCCTAGGCCCACTTGGCTTGAGATGACCTCACTTGTGGGAAGTGAGGCACCCATAAGCCAAGTGGGTTGCATTTGGGGGCTCCACCACAATTGGGTGGATTGGCACCCCAAAGTGCAACCCTAAACCCTAAACCCAGCTGTACACCACAATTGGTGTACAGTCACATGTGTTGGCATGCTACACAACATATATTTTAACAAGGTCCGTGCAGCAGAGGCTAATAAAAAAAAAAAAAAAAAAAAAAAAAAAAAAAAAAAAAAAAAAAAAAAAAAAAGGGTGGTGAGAGCAACTGGGGCTCTGGTATAATGCAACAGAGCGCAACAAAGAAGACTTGTCGTTTTTCTTTTCACTGACCACCTCTGCCAGTCAAGCCATAATAGACTGCGACTTTGCCATGACGTTTTCCCTGCTGTTTTATTGGTGTTTTACCCAACTGGTTTGTGGTGTATCCATACTTTCTTCGTTTACCCACTTTTGTTACGTCCTTTATTTCCAACATATTGCGCCCGTCGTCCCTTTTCTTCCTCCACGTTTTATATTTATAAATATGTGCATAATTCGAAAGACCATAGAGTTTAAGTGTTTGTCAACCCAAAAACTCGCTGCGAAAGTTGCAGTTTGTTTTTTTATTCCGAGAAACTCACTAAGACTTTTCAAAAACACACTAAGAAACATCAGAAGCGCACTAATATTTCTCAAGAGAACAATAAGAATTCTAAAAAACACCTCGTAAGCCCATGTAGATTACTACCAGTCAACCCAAAAGCTCGTTGCGACAGTTTTCCCCTTGTCCTTTCCTTCCGCTTCCGCTTTCAGGTGCGCGCATGGCAGAAGCTGCAGAGCGAGCAGCAGCAGGAGCAGATGGACAGCGGCAAAGGGGCAGCAACAGCAGCAGGTGCAGCAGCAGGAGCAGGAGCAGCAGCAGGAGCAGGAGCAGCAGCAGGAGCAGCCTCATCAGCAGAAAAGGCAGGAGCAACAGGGGAGTTATCAGGAGAAGAGAAAGGAGGGGTGGGAGGAACAGGAGCAGCAGCAGGAGGAGTAAGAGCATCAGGGGCGGTGGGTCCGGGGTTAGGAGACACGGACACAGAGGCAGACACGGATGATCAAGAGCTGCCAGTCTCCACCTCCCCCAGACAGCACCTGGAGCTGCCACCAGTAAACACCTCCCCCAGGCAACTTCTGGAAGTGCCACCGTTTTCTGGTGCTGGGACCTCAGCAAGTGGGGAAGAGAATGGGGAGGTGGTGGTGGGTCTGCAGGGGGATGGCGTGAAGATGGAGGGGTCAGGAGCGGTGGAAGGTGGTGGAGAGGAAAGGGCAGGGAAGGAGGATGGGGAGAAGGAGGAGGTCGGGGATGGGGCTAGAGGTGGGGAGGATGGGGGAGTGGGACAGAGGAGGGGAGTGGGTGTGGAGGTGATTGGAGGGAAGTCTATGGAAGTTCTGGAGGAAGAGAACAGGAAGCTTAAGGTGAGACAAGGGAAAGTTAAATAAGCGTTCGGAAAATTGCCTGTTGAAATGAACAAAGTGCCACGCAATGGAAGTTTTGGAGGAAGAGAACAGGAAGCTTAAGGTGAGACAAGGGAGGTCGAGTAAGCGTTTGACTAAGTGTTTTCAAAATGAGCTAAGTGTTTAGCTCGATGGAGGTGCTAGTGGAAGCCAACAAGAAGCTCAAGGTGAGAAAAGCGGAACTTACTTAAGTGTTTCAATCAGCTATTTCTCTGGGAGTTTTGAAGGTGCTGATTGAAGAGAGCTTGGAGCTCAAGGTCCTAGGCAGTGATAGTGGAGATTGGTAATTACCTTGATACCATCTTTGTACCATAATGATACCACTATGGTCTCACGCTTTTCCTTCCATCCCTTGCTCTTCTCACGCTTTTCCTTCCATCCTTTGCTCTTCTCACGCTTTTCCTTCCATCCCTTGCTCTTCTCACGCTTTTCCTTCCATCCCTTGCTCTTCTCACGCTTTTCCTTCCATCCCTTGCTCTTCTCACGCTTTTCCTTCCATCCCTTGCTCTTCTCACGCTTTTCCTTCCATCCCTTGCTCTTCTCACGCTTTTCCTTCCATCCCTTGCTCTTCTCACGCTTTTCCTTCCATCCCTTGCTCTTCTCACGCTTTTCCTTCCATCCTTTGCTCTTCTCACGCTTTTCCTTCCATCCCTTGCTCTTCTCACGCTTTTCCTTCCATCCCTTGCTCTTCTCACGCTTTTCCTTCCATCCCTTGCTCTTCTCACGCTTTTCCTTCCATCCCTTGCTCTTCTCACGCTTTTCCTTCCATCCCTTGCTCTTCTCACGCTTTTCCTTCCATCCCTTGCTCTTCTCACGCTTTTCCTTCCATCCCTTGCTCTTCTCACGCTTTTCCTTCCATCCCTTGCTCTTCTCACGCTTTTCCTTCCATCCTTTGCTCTTCTCACGCTTTTCCTTCCATCCCTTGCTCTTCTCACGCTTTTCCTTCCATCCCTCGCTCTTCTCACGCTTTTCCTTCCATCCCTTGCTCTTCTCACGCTTTTCCTTCCATCCCTTGCTCTTCTCACGCTTTTCCTTCCATCCCTTGCTCTTCTCACGCTTTTCCTTCTATCCCTTGCTCTTCTCACGCTTTTCCTTCCATCCCTTGCGCTTCTCACGCTTTTCCTTCCATCCCTTGCTCTTCTCACGCTTTTCCTTCCATCCTTTGCTCTTCTCACGCTTTTCCTTCCATCCCTTGCTCTTCTCACGCTTTTCCTTCCATCCCTTGCTCTTCTCACGCTTTTCCTTCCATCCCTTGCTCTTCTCACGCTTTTCCTTCCATCCCTTGCTCTTCTCACGCTTTTCCTTCCATCCCTTGCTCTTCTCACGCTTTTCCTTCCATCCCTTGCTACCCTTTTCCACCCTCACAGCCACCTATCTCTGCTCCTGTCTACCCGTCTCTACCCCTCTCTGAACCTCACTGCCCCTCTCTGCCCCTCTCTGCCCCTCTCTGAACCTCACTGCCCCTCTCTGCCCCTCTCTGCCCCTCTCTGAACCTCACTGCCCCTCTCTGCCCCTCTCTGCCCCTCTCTGCCCCTCTCTGCCCCTCTCTGAACCTCACTGCCCCTCTCTGCCCCTCTCTGCCCCTCTCTGCCCCTCTCTGCCCCTCTCTGCCCCTCTCTACAACAGGACGAACTCACCGCCGCCCAGCACCGCATCCGCCGGCTGTCAGTGCAGGCACTGCGCTCCGATGCCAGTTGCACCACGGCGGTGCAGAGGCTGTCCCAGACCAAGCGGATGTGAGTAGTGGCAGTGTGCTGTGCTGGTAGGGGTAGGGCAAATTTTTCAGTAGAGAGGTGGTAGTGTAGTGGTGGTAGTAGTTACGGGAAGAAGGGAGCAGAGGCACTGCGCTGCAGTGGTGCTGCACTGCCTGTCACCCAGCTGTCAGTGCACGCGCTGCGCTCCGATGCTGGCTGCACCACGGCTGCGCAGAGGCTGTCCCAGACCAATCGATTGTGTGGAGGTGTGCTGTGCTGTGCTGCTGCTGCAGGTGGTTGCTCTGCTAGTGGTGGCAGTGATGGTAGTAAGAAGGTGGATCCACTGATGCTGCCCTCCAGTGCCAGCTGCACCACGGCCGTGCAAGCTGGTGAGCACTGTGGGAGGCTCTCTCCCAGGCCAAGCGTCTGCGAGTGGTCCCAAGGCCTTGTCCTTCCATCCTACTGTTATTCCCTTTTGAGAATTCCTCGAAACAAACCCAACTCCCAACCCGTGGCACTACTTTCGCTTCTTCACCACCACACGCTCTCGCCTTGCTTCCTCCTGCCCTGCCTTACTTCCGTTCTTCCTCCATCCTTTTGTTGCTCCTTAGAAGATTCCGGGAAAGCTGGGCTCATTTTGACAAGTTTGCACCATTTTGTGTATGGGTTTCTTTCAGGTATGGCCCTCTGTTGAGCAGCATCGAGCAGAAGCTTCTCCAGTACAAGCAGGAAGCTTCCCTGCAAGGTCATGTGTGAAGCACCCTTACCCAGTAAACTACGTCAGCTACAGCATACTGGTAACTTCCCATAAAAAACACAGTCACTTTATCCCCATTCACTACTAAAACTCTCGTCTAATTTTCTTCCAAAAACAGTGATGATTTCTCAAGCCTTGCAATTCTTCCTCCATGCCAAGCCATGCTGCCCCGCTCCGAGTCTGTCCAGCAATGGTAGCTGCCGAAACCAATCCACGTCACTTAGGACCTGCCACGTCATCACAGCGCCACATCATCACATCGCACCAACCACAGTGATTTTCTGGTTATTTGGCAGTGGCCAATACCCAAGGTGAATATTTTAGACAAGCAGTTTATCTCTCCAAGAACCCCTAATTTGGCACTGGTAAATCGACAGGGGACGCCGGGATGAGGAGAGGGGGGGGACGAAAAGGGAGAGGGGGGAAACTGAATGCAGGGACGAAACGAAACAGGAGACCTAGAGGGAGGATGAGGTACCCCCCTGTCACAACCTCTTCAGTACGAGTTTGATGTTGCTGTGTCAAGTCAACCCACCTGCTGCAGCACTCGCATCTTTCCCTCCAGGCCGAGACAGCAGTTGGCATGAACAGTGACCAGCCGCCTCAGCAGCCGCCCAATCTGGCAGAAACTGCCAAAGCGGTCCGTCGGCAGGTAGTGGACGGAGAGACGGAGGGTGTCGCGGGTGTATGGGTCTGCCTCGGGGCGCACTCGCGTGAATGCATCCTGGACGTGAATGCCAGGAAAGCTGTAATGGGGGAGGGGAGTTGATTGAAGGGAGAATAACACAAGCAGTGGATAAAGAGACGGAGCGTGTCACGAGTGTATGGGTCTGCCTCGGGGCGCACTCGCGTGAATGCATCCTGGTCGTGAATGCCGGGGAAGCTGATAAGGGGTGGAAGGGGGAAGGGTGGAAGGCGGAAGGGTGGAAGGGGGAAGGGGGGAAGTGGGAAAAGGGGGATGGGGGGAAGCGTATAATGCATGGAGAGATGGGAGAGTATCACGGGTGTATGGGTCTGCTTCGGGGCGCACCCACATGAACGCATCCAAGAATCTCTTGTTTTGAGAATTCTAAAAAAAGATAGAACATTTTCTTATAGACTGTCTCAAAGATTCACTTCTTCAGGCCGCACCCGCATGAACGCATTCCTGGTCGTGAATCCCAGGGAAGGTGAACATTTTGAGACGTCTCAAAAACAACCTCGCTGCACGTGGCAATCCCAGGGAAGGTGAACATGGCTTACCGGGTGTGAGCGTTGAGCCAGTAGTCAAAGAATCGCAACACACGGTCGTTGCTGCGAGCCATGTAGAACCCGCCATTGGCTGCTGCTGCTGCTGCTGCCTTGGGGTCCGAAAGAGGAGAAGGTAAAGGGCTTACAGGGTGGAGGAGAGGAGAGTCTTACCGGGTGTGTGCATCGAGCCAGTAGTCAAAGAATTGCAAAACGCGGTCGTTGCTGCGAGCCATGTAGAAGCCCCCATTGGCTGCTGCCGCCTTGGGGTCTGCTGACCAGCGATCGCATGCTATGAGCATGTCGGATGAGACGGGGAGCAGGTGAGGGAGGGGGTTCTGGTGGTAGGGGGGAGAAGGAAGGAAGTACAGAATCTACTAATACGACACCCCGTCTTCTGCTTTGGGTTCGTCTGACCAGCGACCACAGGCTATTAGGATGTTGGATAAGATGAGATGGGGAGCAGAGCAGAGCAGACAAAAGAGGTCAGCAGATAAGTGGTCAGCCGAAAAGTGGTCACAGGCTGCTACGATCGACCGTGAAGTAGAAGTTGTTGTTTATATATATATATATATATATATATATCTTATGTTGAGAGACATCTTAAGCGAATCTAATTGCACAAGGCGCTGGCAATTACATGCACAACTGCATCCACGTGGCGTCACTGCCACCCACCTGCATCCACATCACTGCCACCCACCTGCATCCACGTCACTGCCACCCACCTGCATCCACATGACGTCATTGCCACCCACCTGCATCCACGTCATTGCCACCCACCTGTAGCCACATGACGTCATTGTCAGTAAAGACCACATTGAGTTTTAAAGACAAGATTTGCTTGATGACATGCAGTCGTCTCCACTTCTGTACAGAGTGGGAAGGATAAAAACGAAGACACAATGAGAAGAGATGAGGAGAGATGCGGAGAGACTAGTAGAGATGAGTAGAGATGAGTAGAGATGAGTAGAGACAACGAGAGTATTTACAAGAACATGGGGGAGTGGGCAGAGACGTGGCAAAAAATCACGAGGGCAATAATAGGCAAAAAGCATCAGGTGCGACTACATGTATCTCTTAAGATACTGCTCGCCCGCCCGAAAAAAGCATCAGTATCTCTTTAGATACTGCCCGCCCAAAAAAAGAACAGTACCAGGTTCAGATAGGAGGGGGTCATAAATTTCTTCTGCTCTCCACTGAAGTCGTCCCTCTCACTCTTGGGAACATCCTCCTGCCCACAAAAGGGATGAGAGGGCACAAAAGGGATGAGAGGCCATACCAGGTGCAGATAGGAGTGGTGGAAGGGGGGGGAGGGAGGGGGAGATGGGGGGTGGGTTGAAAACAAAAAGACTCCTCGAGCTGACACCTTGTAAAGTGAGAGGTGAAGTCACTCATTGAGTCGACTCAAAAAGAGGTAAAGTAGGGGTAAAGTCAGCATACACGCCTAGACTACTGCTGGTTCGCTGGCCTCCAGCCAGCCACACACACCTGTGAGTCGAGGAAGCAGTGCAGACGCAGCGAGCAGCACAAGGCCAGGCTGCGGTGGTCGTAGCAGATCGTCAGCAACTTCTTAGGATCGTAAACACATTAGTCGGCAATAGTCTACTTGCTATCGCCTATCGTGTTCTCCACGATCTCCCGAATCCAATGATATGCGCAGCTCTGCTTGAAGTTGTCAATACACACTTCAGCAATTTTCAGAATCTCAATGTTCTCAATGTTGTCCAATGTTATGATTTCCAGAATGAGCACAAGCAGTTTTATAGTCATGCAAGACACAAAATGCGATTCGTAACTTCACTTGTTTCCCAAGTAACCGCGTGCGCCTCGTTTCACCCCGAGTCGCAGACGCAACCGAACCGAATTCGGTGAACACTCCTCAAGACCGAATCTGGAACCTTCTCGAACACGCCTCGAGCTCGAACCACAATTTCCCCTCGCCAACTTCAATCTCGATGTTTCTTCTTCTCTCTCCCTCCTTCTAGCACATTTCTTCTTGATTTCTCTCCCGCTTCTCACGTCGTAGCCTCTATTCCACACCGTAGGCCGATTTCCACCGTTTCACACACGCGCTTCCATTTCGCCGTCATTCCGCCGTCGTAGATGCTTTCGCCTTAGGTTCCGTGGTTGGGCGAACCAACCCTAACAATCTCCCCTGTGGTTCGTCAACCACGAACTCCACTCGCACTCCTCCCCTGCTCCTTGTAGCCTTCGCAGGGTCTAAGTCGGCTTCACGCTCCCCTGCAGCTCCTGCACCTTGAACCGCTGCTTACGTGTCTTGAAGTTGAGCGCCTTGACATCCAAACCATGAAACATTTTCTTGAGCCTCTCGCTGCTCCTCGGCATCTCAACACTCAACACCTCTCGGGTCTCATACCCTTCAACGCGTTCATCCTCCCTAAGCACTTGCCCCTTTGCAGTTGCATTCGCCTTTGATCCTTTCACCATGATGTCCCCTTTCACAGCTTCAACTCCCACACACTTCGCATTTACTGCTTCGTCTTCAACCACGATCGCTGCTGCAAAAGTGTTGACATCATCTCCATCTCTACCATTCACTGCTGCTGCCTCCATGGCGACTATCTCCTCTTCCTGCTTCTCTGCTGCCTCCACACTCGCTCCCGTATCATCCGTGTCCTTGCTCTTATCATCCTCAGTAGGCTCAGGATCCTCATAGATCTCATCCTTGTCGTTCATCGCTATCAAGTTCATCTCATAGAAACCGTCACTGAAATAACCATCCGCATACTTCTCCCACTCAGGACCAAACACTGTAACCTCACCTGTGTCATAAAATATCCTGCACCCCAAGTCATCAAGCTGTGACTGACTGACCAAGTTCACCTCTCTATACGGACTCTGCAGCACCACCTCACCCTCTCCTGTCACTGGTAACTTCCCACTGTTACCTTGTAGTATATAATCCTCACTCGACTCCCTCACATTCTCCATCCAATCTGACCTGAATGTCATGTGACGCGTGCATCCGCTGTCCATGAACCACGCCCTCTTCTCACGTCCATCTGTCTGAGCCTCCTTCGGTAAATGCACCACGTTCGCGAGATGCGCTCCTCCCAAAATCACATCCTCCTTTTCAGCTTCCACTACATTCGCCTTTGTCGCCACATTCCTCTGCTGCGACGGACCCTTGTAGCTCATGCTGTTTGGATTGGAGTAGCACTCTGCGGCACGATGCCCGTAGCGCCCACAATAATCACACTTGCCGCCAAAACCTCGTTTCTGCTGCCACTCCGCTCCTGCATTTTCTCCTTTCTCGTTCTCCATCGCTTTGCCCTTATAGTTTCTGCTTCGAGGATTTTCGTAGCATTTTATCGCCTTATGACCGCGCTTTCCACACTGGTAGCACGCTCCAAACGCTTTCGCCGCATTCACCAAAGCCGACCTGTCCTCGTCGAATTCTGTAACTGCTGCTGCTGCTTTCTTTTTCCTCATCTCCTTCACCGTCTCAAGCGACTGTAGAATCTCCTGCAGCTTCATCAAACTCTCCGGCGGTTGGTACGTAAACATGCCGATGTCGGATTCGTACTCCTTAGGAAGGCCTTGGATGATATAGTCAATCATCTCATGCTCCGTCTCCGCGGCTCCCATCACCCGCAAGTCGTCGTTATAGCTTTTCGCCCTGTTGATGTAGGTGATGATTTTCTCGCCTTTCTCCATGCTCGGCATCAGCAGCTGCTTCCGAATCGCCTTCTTGTTGACGTCGTTGGTGCCCATGTACGTGGACTCCAGGTACTCCCACGCTCGCTGTGCAGAGTTCAGCTCCCCTGCAAACTGGTCCAAATCCACTGCGATTCCATCGGCAACTGAGTGACAAAGCTGAAAGAAAGCTTGCTTACTTTGCTTTTTAAACGCCGCTATTTTCTCCTTCGTGTCCGTCGTGGAAGGCGCAACTCCCTCCATCGTCTCCTCGTCGGGACGGCAGTACGGCAAGAGGTCGACCTCCTCTGCCCTTCGAATGAACTTCTTCCGCCACACGTTGTAGTTGCTCCCGTTGAAGCGCTGGGCTTCGCTGAGCCCGATCGTCGGTTTCGCCACCAATCGGCCACTCGCAAGGGCCTCGAGAAGAGCCTTCAACTGTGGGTCTCCAAGACTCACACTGGAACACGAACTCGCCTCGTCTCCCATAGCGTAGGCGTGAACGACTCCTCTTCTCCACTAATTTCACTTAGCGCACCAAGTGAATTCACGACGATCGACGCGCTCGTTCGCCAAGCTCTGATACCAGTTCTTAGGATCGTAAACGCATTAGTCGGCAATAGTCTACTTGCTATCGCCTATCGTGTTCTCCACGATCTCCCGAATCCAATGATATGCGCAGCTCTGCTTGAAGTTGTCAATACACACTTCAGCAATTTTCAGAATCTCAATGTTCTTAATGTTGTCCAATGTTATGATTTCCAGAATGAGCACAAGCAGTTTTATAGTCATGCAAGACACAAAATGCGATTCGTAACTTCACTTGTTTCCCAAGTAACCGCGTGCGCCTCGTTTCACCCCGAGTCGCAGACGCAACCGAACCGAATTCGGTGAACACTCCTCAAGACCGAATCTGGAACCTTCTCGAACACGCCTCGAGCTCGAACCACAATTTCCCCTCGCCAACTTCAATCTCGATGTTTCTTCTTCTCTCTCCCTCCTTCTAGCACATTTCTTCTTGATTTCTCTCCCGCTTCTCACGTCGTAGCCTCTATTCCACACCGTAGGCCAATTTCCACCGTTTCACACACGCGCTTCCATTTCGCCGTCATTCCGCCGTCGTAGATGCTTTCGCCTTAGGTTCCATGGTTGGGCGAACCAACCCTAACAATCTCCCCTGTGGTTCGTCAACCACGAACTCCACTCGCACTCCTCCCCTGCTCCTTGTAGCCTTCGCAGGGTCTAAGTCGGCTTCACGCTCCCCTGCAGCTCCTGCACCTTGAACCTCTGCTTACGTATCTTGAAGTTGAGCGCCTTGACATCCAAACCATGAAACATTTTCTTGAGCCTCTCGCTGCTCCTCGGCATCTCAACACTCAACACCTCTCGGGTCTCATACCCTTCAACGCGTTCATCCTCCCTAAGCACTTGCCCCTTTGCAGTTGCATTCGCCTTTGATCCTTTCACCATGATGTCCCCTTTCACAGCTTCAACTCCCACACACTTCGCATTTACTGCTTCGTCTTCAACCACGATCGCTGCTGCAAAAGTGTTGACATCATCTCCATCTCTACCATTCACTGTTGCTGCCTCCATGGCGACTATCTCCTCTTCCTGCTTCTCTGCTGCCTCCACACTCGCT